TAAACATGCTGTTGCCCTCGAGACACTATTATGTGCATATGTTTGTTTTAAAATAAATTACTATGTATTTCGTGTTGTTTATTGCTATGTTTATTAACTCATTAAAATGATTTTTGAAATGTCGACACAACGCACCAGCGGTAAGGCTGGTAGTAACCGTCTCAAGGGAAGGCATTACAGGGTGACGGCGGTGGCAGGGAGCAAGTTGGGATTGAGCAGGGCAGCGCAGGCCACAATAGGGGAGGATACACTTTACACAGAATGTATTCCTTTTCCTTCCTGAAAAGATGAATAAGGGAAATAAACATCCAGACAAGTAAAAGGATTCCGCTTTAAAGTTACGTTGCGTTTAGTCAAATGTTTCGAGTTGTTGTTGTTGTTGTTATTATTATTATTATTATTATATAACGAGTGAAGTGGTGCGTAGCGCGCTGACTTAGCAATCGGGAGGCCCGGGTTCGAACCCCGGGCCGGCCATCCTGACCTGGGTTTTAGTGGTTTCCCTCGGTCATACAGGAGAATGCTGGAATGGTTCAAAAATACCACGGTCACCTCTCATCATCATCCTATCATCTCATAATTCACCATTCAAGACGTAACAACCTTGTCTTACTAAGGGATACAGCCGAAACACTGATCCCCGTAATAACACACGTTAATCACTCTCCGGAATAGAATATGACCGGGTTTCGGAAGAAAACGTGTAGTGAGGTCAGAAATGGCCGATACAACAAAATTGTGGAAGACTTCTTCACGTGCAATTAGAGGTAACGGATAGTTTTTACGAGAGATTTACACTACACTTCAATTACATTACAAATACCATAGCTAATTCTCACACATTAAAAAATAATGGAAACTCAGAGGCTGTGAATAAACTGATTCAATCTCTAATAATTCAGTTGAGTTTGTTTCCTGCTCGCCTGTTGTGAGATCACCTCCATTGACGTAACTATTTTTTCTTTCATCCTAACCTCAATTTTCATCCAACCCGGTTCATTCCGTATGATTTATAAAAAATACAAAAGCCCGTCTTCTTTTCTTTTCTTACGACTCCCATGACTCATTCATGAGTTTGAAAGTATGAGTTGTCGGTAACCATTTGATGAAATGTTGATAGCTAAATCTGATATATGGCTATCAGCGTTAGATATTAGATAGATTAGATTAGATATTTATTATTCCTGAAGGTAACTTTTATGCAACCTGGTGGCAGAATACAACAATTTACATATTACCATTAGGAGATTATATTACAATGTAACTTTAAATTATTTTAAGACAATAATAATAATAATAATAATAATAATAATAATAATAATAATAATAGTAGTAGTATAACAATGATAAAAATGAAGGCATACATATCATTAACTCCACATTTTAAGTCTGTCTTCCACAGATATTTTAAACTAATTAATACACAACATTTTAATCACACTACACTCCACTTCACAACACGTTACCACACTTCAATGCAAATACTACTTTGAATATAACTATCTATTTAATAAGGAATTGCATTTATTATCACAATAATAGTAATAATAACAATAATATAATAGCGGTTTTAATAAGGGTAACTTACTAACTAATAAAGTTCACAAATATCTTCAACAATATCTTTAGTTAATTTACTTTTAAATTTTTGAACACTTAGAAGAAAGGGTTCCAAGGCTATCGCAGGCAACTTATTCCAGCCCGTTATTATTCTATTCAACATTTGTTCTCTGTGGCCTGAATTGAATTTTGTGCCTCTACTTAAGTGTGTGGGACTACTGAGTCGGATGTAGATATCTTTCCAAGCTGGATAACGGCATACACTTTGTACAGGGCACAGTCTTGCTTTAACCCTCTTGATTTCTAGTGTCTCCTGTTCTACTTTCTTCCTATTGCTTCGTAAAGTTAATTTACACACTTTTCTCTGTACTCTATTCAAATATTATTTCTATAAGGGTCCCAACAAACTGCTCCGTATTCCATTAATGGACGAACTAGAGATAAGTAGGCTAATTCTCCCGCTTTCGCAGTACTCTTTTTTAGTATCCGCTTAGTAAAATGCAAAGACCTCCAGGCTTTCCCTACGACAAAGTTTACCAGATTTTCCCAACTCAATTTGCAATCAAAAATTATTCCCAAGTACTTACAAGACAAGACTCTTGGAATATTTTCAGTGCCTAAACGGTATTGAGTTTCACTGTTGTTGCGGTATCTGCCAATCGTAATGGTTTTTCTTTTCGAACTATTTATTGTCATGCTATTTTTTTCGCCCAGAAATATAGTCTATCTAGATCACCCTGAAAAATATCTTTGTCTACTTTTGATTGAATAACTCGGTATATTATACAATCATCTGCAAATAGTCGTACTTTTGAAAAGAAATTATCTGGTAGGTGATTCATAAATGCGAGAAACAAGAGAGGCTCAATAACGCTTCCTTGTGTTGCCAGATTATTTTTGGTCTATGTCGTGATTTTTAACAAATCTTGTTGAAAAAAAGTGTGATCTGTTAGAAAAAAGTAGGACAAAATAAGAAACCAATAATACGTAATATTTTAGTTTAAGTATCGAAACAGAAACCTTTATACAGATTTCAATCACAACACCGTAATCAGTAGATTATCAAATTTCAAGAGGTATTTTCGTAATCAGAAGAAAACGTACTTGGCTTCGCGAAAGTTTTTTAATTTTTTTCACTCGTGAGAACTCTCGTTCTTCACGCAAGAACTTGTTTTCGAGTGCTTTGCGAGATGACACTCCACTATTTTTTTAACACAGTCGACAACTTATTTTATATTTGTTTAACTTTACCTCGCACACCCAGTTATAATCACATTCCCATTTAGTGTTGTATTTTGTTAACCGACGTTTTTCTAGTTTTATTTTATTAATCGGTGTGTCTTGCGCCGACAAATCCAAACTGTCCGAAAAACTATCAACTTACATATCTTCCAACAAAGCATGGAGAAATAGCAACACAAGTGTAAAGTACAGTTTATTCTCCACGTAGGGGATTTGACACATATCCATTATGCGAAGCGAGTGCACACTTTGTTAAACAATGAACAGTGCGTTACGATCTGTGATGGCGTCAACACCGCTAGCTCGATCACTCAGGATGCAATGCTACGGGTGGGAGGTTAAAATGTCTAAACTACAAAAATGACCAATGTAATAAATGCCCTGAGTAAAACTGTCCAATTTATTCAATGTCCAAACATTTTATTACAAAATGATCGAAATGACAAAATGTCCACCTCATTTATTTGCATTCTTCTTGCTGTCTTTTTTCTTCTGGTTGGAATTGAAGTTGACTATTCCCCGCAGGTAGCGTTTAATATTTGTTTTCTTATATATGTTGTAGTTTTGCACAATATTTTCTACTCTTTGGTTTGTAATGAATTTTTTGGAGGCCTAATGTGTACATGCCCTACTTGCATTTGATCGACAATACTTTATTTGCCATGTTCGTTTCTTATATGCTGAAGAAATCTCCGGTTACTCATATGACGAGCAGCTACCATCTTTTGAAATTTGCTGTGGAAAGCTTCCACCGCGTTGTTTGGCTTCTGGTGTTCGTTCAGTGTATGCAGGTACATAATCCAGTTGCTGGTGGACATCTTGGGGACATTGCTGTTCTTCGTCCTCCTTGCGTATGTATACCTCTCACAGATGTAATTTGTATATAATCGGCTAGTTCAACTAAGTCTCAATGTCATCGTACAACATATCAAATGTATCTTCCAAATCTAATGGTATAAAAGGGAGAGCCATTATTCTTGGATGTTGCCTGTAACAAAGTTCAATATTGATGTATAATTAATGTAAACCAAGACTAATGACTTTTCTGTATATGAACTGCGTGAAATGGTGCAGACAACCTTTAATACTTTTTATTAGGAAAATGATCATGTGCTGCATTCATGTTTGCAATTTCGAAACCCATGACCATGGTTGGAGGCTCCAGCTTTAATCCTTGTCTTCTCGCTTACTCTTTTAATTGGCTATATACGGCTGAGTAGGAACCTTGTGATTTGTTGGTCAGCAAGGAAAAACGGAAAAGTAAAATTATTTATTATTCCATGTATAGTGAATAACTGAAGAAATTGATTTGGAATTGTTTTAAATGTGCCATCAGTAATTCGCTTGAGTATAAATACTCGATGGTCTTATTTGAATAAAATCTAAGAATTCCGTTTGAATCTTGTTGTCCACAATCATACATAAGAAAATCCTCACCTCTAATTGTTTTCTCGTACGGTGATCCATTGACAAGTTCATTCAAATTTTGGATGTCTCGTAGTCGTGTTCTATTTTGTTACTTACTGAGTGTTTCAGCTTATTCCGTTCTGGTAGCCTTGCCGAAATTTCATTTTCAATTTGCCTTACAATTCCTGTCGATCCTTCTGAGTAAGGTCTCTCTGTATCTCTTTCTTTCAATGTCGCACTGTCTCGCAAAATCTCCACTGCAGCAGAGTCCGCTTCATGCAAATGGTTTCTTCTTCTATTTTTATTGAAATTATGTTTTCTAGATGGGCATTCGTAACACATCTAGCATTGAAAGACGTTCTTTCTTTACAACTCCAATAAATTTTGGAACTATCTTTACTTCCAGAATGACAGTGTTATATGCATCCATCATGTATTTATTCTTTTGATATTTTATAACTTGTGCCACTGTACCACCGAAATTTAAAATGAAATATAATGAATTACTGATTTGCCATGCAATATTTACAGTTGAGTCAAAAAGGACTTCACAACTTTCAAGGCATATACATGTTTACTGAGATGACTTAAAAAATTGTTAGATTCGCTTACGTCAGTCTTCAAGTTGGACGTCTGACGGCTACCTTCTTTGAATAACTAAATACAAATTGTAATTAAATAAAGACATAGGTTTTAATGTATTTGATGATTTTAAACAATGGCCGGTTAATTTAGCTTTCACAGAAATACGAGTATGTAAAGATATCTACTTACAAAGTGTGCTAACTATCTACAGACCATTTGCTGATTGCTGTCATCCCTACCTCAACCGACGATCCTCCAGCACAAAACCGCTTTGATGGCAGCTACTGGGGACCGCCCCCGCCGCCCTACACGCCCACGGCGCCAAACGAAAGCTCAACTGATCATACATCAACAGCGACTTCACCCAGCTTTATCACAAACCGACTGCAAACAGGTAAGATGGCGCAAAAGAAGTAGAAACTTCTTTTCGGATAAAAATGCACGCGCAGCCAAAAACGAAGAGACAAATACATGGGTCTCCTTTACTATTAGTAGTTTACTATATATGTATGTATGTATATATATATATATATATATATATATATATATATATATATATATATATATATATATGTCACCGTTTTGGACGCAATTACGCTCGGAGAACATATTCTGCAGTTGTGAAGAAATCCAAATTGTGACCATGTTACTGAGTAACAATTCTTTGAATAAATTTAATTATTAAACTTACATACTTTACATAGGACGTATTTTACTAGGAAATTAATAAAACATATGTACAGTGTATTTATAGGTTGAACCAGTTACAGTGTTTTCAGAGTTCCAGTTGAGTCAGGATTGTCGCCAAATATCGTATATTATCCGCGCACGTTTTCTTGAGCCCTCATTTCGCTATTTGAGAGAGAAATTAGGTTATTTTGACAAAAATTATTTTATAACATATTTAAAGTTCGTTTTCCGATGCAAAATAGTTTTACTACACAGGAGCGAACATTTCTGGTTATCAGATTTTGTCTACAACGCTCTTTTCTATTATTTATTCTTCATTCAACCAATGTTGGCAAAGGAGTGACGGTAGATATTCCGGGGCTCAAGAAATGAGCGGATATAATATCAATTACCCACATTGTCAGTTAAAAATGGGGAAAATCAAGAATATATCCTATAAACGGTAATAAAATATTTTATTGCTTACGGGCCACTTTCGAAATTTTGAGGGGGGGGGGCGCGAACAGCACACCTATGCGTATGAGAAACCGGTGACTTCGGGATATATCGTCTGCTTTGTGCATTTTCAAATCCAGCGAAACGCTGCTGCTGCTACTGGAAGGCTATGCCTGTACCTACAATTCAGACTTGCTAGTTTTATTTGAAACATATGTAAAACGTTAAGAACACAGTTCTACAAAACTAATGTTTTGGTCAACTGTTTCGCTTTAGTTGACTGATTCCTTCACGTATTGTAGTGCTCTGAATCCAAGAATGGCAACAGTTTTGTCCTGGGACGTCAGGTTTTCGAACAAACGAATGATCACCATTTAAAAAACCGAACGCAAAAACTTATTTGCACAAAAATATAAACTCATTTGCACAGTTGACGACAAAATTAACACCACAATCAATCGGATTGCTTGTGAAATCGTCTTTTTTTATACTCCAAACTTCTTTTTAAGCTTTTCCTCTTGTACGTGGCTTTTGGAAGATCCTTGTACAACATTCAGCAGTACGCAGCCATCATATAACTCCATTTCCCTTGATATCTTCTTTCCATTTCTTTTATACCTTGAGGAAATTCTCTATTTTCCTCTCTCTTTACTCACTGCTCCCAAATTTTCAGGAAAATAGTCAGTGTGAATTGATATAATGGACTTTTGAACTCACGGAGCAACAAAGCTTTTGGAATGCTTTCAACTTTGTTTCCACCATTTCCTTGTGATTTGGGTCGTTTTAGTTTCCCAAAAAGGTTTTTATGACCACAGTAAAGGCAACCCACGCTTCTTTTTAAGTTTGAATCATGGAACTGTTGCAGTCTTTATCGGATATGAATTTACTAATATCCGGCACAACAAAAACTCCCTCTTTCGGTTTTCCTGCTGATAAACCTGGAAACTTGGATCCCAAGTTCTTGAAGCATTCTCTATCATTGGGAAGTGCCTTAAAATTGCATCATTATTCCTAATTATATAGATATAGGTTGTTGCTGTTAGCCAACGCCCACCCTTGGCAAGTTAGCCATTTGGTGAAATGCAGACCAGTATAGACGTGCTGAGTTTCCCCTCAGCTTGTAGAGAACCGCACTCCCACAATGGTCAAGCATGTAGGTGGAAAATCACTGTTGCTCATTTAGTGTTACCCAGGGGACACGTGTATATAGGAAGAGGTGGTAATAAATGCTTCTCACAGGATACCAATATTTCCTCGAGGACATTCTTTTCACCTACTAGACTTCGTGGTAGCAAATTTTTCTGCTTCCAGTAATTTTGTCAGTCTCCACTGTTCAATAAACATAGGAAATAAGGGTATTTGGTGCAACGTTTACATACTTTAAGGAGCCCAAAGTTTATCTTGGTAATAAAGTTCTAATTTAAAATAAATGAAGTAAATTTTCTTTTCAAATCCAACAAACTCTTCAGTCTTTTGAGTAAATTGATGTGTAAGTTTCATCTCTCCACCTACAAGAGTAATTTTTATGGTAGCTATTTGTACATAACTGAACCCTGTGGATAAGAAAAAATTGCAATTACTGACCACAAGGTGGAAATGTCCTATAGTATAAAATCTTTAATGGGTGTTTAAGTTTTTTTTGTTTGTGGGGTATTTGAGATGCAGATCTAGTCATGAACATTGCCTTCTGTTCCTGGTTATGGATTGATTGTAAAACCAATTTGTAAAATTGATTTTTTTGGTGTAATTACTCATTCTGCATCATAGTTTCTAAATACTCAATAAGCAAAAGTTAAGCATCATAATTATCTCCCATGTTACCACACACGCACCACTTGATCAACAAAATAGTATAATTACAAAGTCAATGAAATACAAAGCACACGTTTGATAAATTTTAACATCGCAATAAGAGTTTAAGGAGGGAGTTGTCAAAGGCATTGAAGGCAGGCTGGGGTACCGGACCATCAAAATTTGACAAATGTTTTGATAATCATGCAAAATGACCTTGGAGAAATGTAAATGAGGTTTTTAACAAGCCATCTGTAGTTTGACTTCTGTTGAAGTTACAAGTAGAGCAGTAATGATGATTGCTACTGGTGTAATCAGCTGATGGGCTACTAGTATTTTTGATATTTTGTTTGTAGAAGACTCAAATATAACAAGAATTATTGCAATTAATTTTCCACAAATACTACATCTGTTAAATAAAAGTTGTCTTGTGTTTCAGCATCCCCTCCACCCCAGTATGAATCGCCACCACCCTACTTTTAATGCTATTGAACGATCTTCAGAGACCATCAATGACCACTTCTCTTCAGGCTTCTTTGCAACAACTGCAGAAAGCTTCAAGCTAAAGATTCATGATCTTTAGATAGATCGGCATCATCTTCAAACAAGTGAAGTTGTTACAGCTTTACTTAAAAGTAAAAGTTAAATGAAGGACTTTAATGAAGTAAATATATATTTCTTCAGAGATATTTACATTTTTTTTTGTCTATGTGATGTACATATTTTCAAAGTCTTATTTCTGTACACAATGTGATTGTTACAACTGATGTATATATATTTTTTCTAATATAAATTTTTTGAAATAGATAATAGAATTTTCTAGACAAATAAAATATATAATTCAATGCCGAACCACAAAAAATACACTTGAATGATTAATATTAAGATATAACATCTAAAACTGAGTGTGTTGACTGACACAATAACGAAGAAAGTGTCTTACCAAGCTCAACAGAGAAAGCATATTTACAGAATTTACTTAGGCCATTCATAAGCATCTTTCTTTGCAGGAAACCGATTCACATGCATTAGATATTGTGTACCATTCTTCCCTTAATTTTTTAGACTAAACATGATTCAATTATTCAAGTTTATACAAAAACAGAAATAGCCAAGTCAGAAAATGAAACAACATTCTTTCATACCAGAAGAAAATATCACTTGGGAAACATACACAGTCCACAACAGCCCATCTTTTCAAAAATTATTGTTATATCAGCAAGACAACACTTTCGTCCCGGTTTCAAGAACATATCCCCAATCATTCCTAAATTAACCGGTGAAAAGAAAGGAAAAAAAAACATAGGAATGCTAATAGAAAGGTTTGCTCTGATTGAGAAATGCACATTATAAGACTTCTTGAATTATCAAGTCATCATTTACTTGTATTATCATTTCTTTCTGCTTTCCACCCACAAATTAGGGCAGTAATTTTTGTTACATTATAAACACTTAAAAATATGTACGGTTGTGCTTTAAACCAGATCCTTCAATATTCTCCCCCAACTGAAGATCAATAGTTCCACATCAATACACTCAATTTGATTGGTTACCACACAACATCTATTTGCATAATAATATCTATACTCTAGATAAATTTTCACTTGCAAGGCAATACATCTGTCATGGCATACCGCCACGTCCAAGCACGAGCAACACTTTCAAATGTTGCTCGGTCATTCAGGTACAATTCCCCAACACCAGGCTCCATACAAACCTACAGATAAAAATGATTAGATTTAAAATTTATTAAAAACTGTTCCTAAGTACATAACAGATACTGGAATACATTCATGAAGTTTATACTAATATAAAATTAGATTTTTTGACATTAAAAGCTAAAGTAGGGGAATTTATAGGGCTAGTAGGCTAGATAGCTCTTCAACTCTCCAGAACATCTTGAGGAAATAAAATCAATGCTTTAAAGTCATTCACATAAACTGAATTATACAATCACTTTCAATTACTGTGTTTAGAACCAGACGTCATTGACATTTTAAAAAAAAAATTTAAAGCAAAATTTAAAAAATTAATTAATATAGCTGTGAAACATACTCACCAAACAGTATGGGTCGGTAAGTAAGCTTTGCACAGATATGAGCACCTTACTGATAGTAAGAGCCAAACTCCAGTTGTGTTGAATGGAGTCTATGCCCACATCACCATGCCTTGACACATTTGGATGGAAGATGCGTGTAAGGAAACGCACCACAGGTGGACACATTGGGTAGCTATATGGCACTTGCAAATACAAGAAAAACAAGCCACCTTCATACGGACTGCCTGCAGGTCCTGTGATGCTAGCTTGCCAATGACAACACTGTGCATCTAGGGGTTCTGCTTCAATTCCTTCTGGTGGATCAGTACGCAAACCTGTCACATAATGTCAGGGAAGTCAATCAAGATTATTCTGATCCAAATACACGCACAAATTTATCTAGCATATCATATTTACAAGTTCTTTGCACACCGAAGTTATAGTTCCCAGTTTAAACGTGATAATTTAATTATTACAAAAAAATACACTATTAAGTCTCGAAAGTCAAAGATGGATGGGATGGAATTTTATCTAAGTTTGGATTAAGTCCTATGACGTAATTTTATTCTTTTCGTTTGAAAAATCATAAATGTATTATTATGAAGACAACAAATTAAACCAAATATAATATTCAATTGTTATATTAAATTACAATATAAAATTGAAAGTAAAAAGGAGTGATCCGAATTACATTATCTCTTGTGAATCTTCCTCAAACTCGTCGTACTAAATTGCTTCCTAGGTTAGGAATTGCCCAATAATAAGTTACTGATAGGTTAATAGTCCACCACATGCTTTAGAACGGGTTAAAGGATAAATTAAAGGAAATCATATCTCGAGAACTAACTTTGGAAACTATTTTTTTCTACATATCTGGTAAGTACTATACTGTTCTCCTCAAGTAACCTGCATTACTTGTTCCCTTTAAATTTACCAACACTGATGGGAATGCTATTTTGCCTTAACATCTGGTACCAGCTTCTAGATGCACATGAGATAGGTAGACAAGAGATGAAGGATTAGGCAGAAAGCAGTGCTATCAGCATTAACTTGAAATTAACAAGTAATTCATTTTACTCAGGGGTGGAATCATAGACGAATTTGGGGAGGGGAAATTCAAAACATTTTCGTCGAATATGTCATATTACAGATTTTGTAAAATGTTGCACACATCAGCACATGCTGCTATACGATTTTAATAGTTTTAATGATTATCCGAAAATATGTTTTCTTGAAAGTCTCGTGATAAGTTGAATTTAATAGTTACTGAACAATTTTACAGGGGAGGAGTGGGAATGTCCTTCATTTGGACCCATCTTTGAGAAAACTTTAAAACTGTCATTGAGGCTTCATGCACATGTAAAAATCAAAATCTCTGTTTCAAATTCAAAGGGTCTTAAGTTCGGCCACATCGATTAAAGAATATCAATTTTGGAGGAAATCATGTGGAGACTTTAGGCACTAGTGTTGACTGTAGACAGATGGAGTAATTGGGATGAACGAGAACAATTATTAGGTATTAAGGAACTCAAAACGTAGGATTCAGACGATGCAATGTATTACAGGAAGTAATTTATTACATTTAAAAGCATGAACTCTTCACTTTTTTGGTATCAAATTAGAGTTTTTCTGTTGAAAAATTGTCACTTTACAAAGTAGCAGCAGAACAATACTTCCTCTTTACTACGTATGTATGTATTAAGTAAAAATTAAGATGTTAAATTAATAAATGAATATAATATTTGCATAATAGCCTACCCATGTAACCTATTTATTACAAATATAGAATTATTATTTAAACATTTCAAAAAAAAATAAAAAAGTGCTAAAAATTGAAGACGTGATCACTTTATCGACACAATTTTTAAACCTGAATTTTTGCATCTCGCTGGTTTCTTCTATAATTTCTTCTGGCACTTTCTTCCAGCTTTGAGTGGGTCTAGATTGATCGGGAAGAATTCAGTTTGGAAAAAATTCTACGTATAGTTAAGGTGCAAGGGTTGTTCACAGACGGAAGGATGTTTTTTTAAAAAACAAACACTTTTTCAGTTTCAGGGGAACTCAAAACCTGTGTTTCTACTGAAATCTCAAAATAGATTTTCTGCATCATCACATTACTCTCACTATACTATGTATAGTACTCTATTTTTATTGACATAGAAAATAAAATAAAAATTGAATCACTATTTTTTGCTGGACTATTTTCTTTTTTTAGGAATAATGCCGACTTATATAACCATCTTAAACTCTCCCTGACTTTTAATGATTCTTCTACAAATTTCCTGATTTTTCTCTCACTTATGCACAACAATGAAATTTCCTGTTTCTGGTTTTTGATGTTTCCAGAAAGTGGTCACCCAGATTGATTTCAAAACGCTCAGCTAAGATTTCTAAGCAACTTACAAATAGCAACACAAGAATCGCACAATACATAAGGAACATAATTTAGACATGTGATGAATGCTTGACAATTAAAATTTTATATATTGCAATGAATACATAGAAATTTTGAAGTGTAATGAACACTAAAATAAAAACATGTATTTTAGCCCTATGGACTAGGTTATCTCAGCTGATGAGACATTTTCTTAAAAAAACCTACACAGCAACAAACCTACAAGCAAGACTTCTAATTGTGTTACAGTATTTAGATTTTTATTTCTCTATTGTTAATATAGCTCAATAAATAAACAAATAAATAAATCACAATTATGATTAACTATATGGTACTACCACTTACTTTTAAGTTCATTGCGTAAACGGTTACGACGCCAGGAGTTTTCTTCTCCAGGGGGATGTGACTGCAAAGCCATCTGCTGCAGGCATGATTTGCAGGGGCAACTATTCATCCTGCATAAATCAGCAACTTCAATTAAACACAGTGCCACTGAGACACAATGCAAATAAAATACAGAATTTGTTGCACAATAATCTGCATTTATTCATGAAGTTCTTCAGTTAGAAATGAAAAAGAACAAAAGTATCAACATTTGTTCTCTGAAAATTGTGGGCAATTAGGCTGGGGCATACGGTCAAGGCAAGTGCAGTATCTGCACAATATTAGTACTTAATATTTAATCTCCCTAGTCCTACTTTTGTTAGTGAACATATTCTGAAATTGCAAGAAATCACTAAGCAGAAGATTGAATCTGCCACCCTCGATGGTAAGAGACATAACAAACCTGCTTACACAACACTTTGTTCAAAGTCCAAACAATTGCAAATCTGTATTAATAGTTCTATCAATTATTTTAAAATTAAAATAATTGATAGAACTATTAATTATTAACCAGCAATCAGATGGTAATGTTTACAACCAGAATTAAAATTAACACTTACAACTGTGAGTAGGCAGCAAACCAGTCATGAACAGCACGCAAAGGTTTGAATAGTGGCCAGCGTCGCAAAGTGGAAGCACGCCACTGCTCAGGGGCAACATGAGTGCAAACTAGGTGACGCCAGCGCTTGCACACATTTCCCACACTCCAAAGAGAGAGGTCATCCAGGTAAGAGAACACTGCCAGTAAAACTACAACAATAAAACAGGCTGAAAACTATTTGCCCTTATTCCCAAAACATCACAAGAATCTTCCTTTTATTCACACCACTTTGCTATATCTGCCCTATCTACACTGTAACCATTACTATTGAACATTAGGTCTTCTGTGACTCTTGGTCTCCGTTCATTCAAGGCTCTAAGACACTTTAATGCCAAGGAGAAAAAACAGCAAAAATTCACTTATATCAGAGAAAGACCGAGTTCTATCTGAAATTATGGACAGCACATTTAGATGATAACATCATTCAAAATCTAAATAGTTTTGACACCTATGAAATATCCAAGAAAAAGCTACACAAAGAACACACAATATTGCACATACATATAGGCATTTACACATAGCCTGCAGGACCTGATAATATTAGCATGGAACCTTTCAAAAATAGAGAAAATTCCCTCACGGAAAGAATGCTGATATTTATTAATGTTGGCAAAAAAGAAAAAAAAAATTCTATAAGAGTGAAAATTGGCAAAAGTTATACCACTGTTCAGAAAAGGATGAAGATGCTCTTGTGACAACTACAGAGAAATTAATATTTCAAATGCAGGTTTTAAAATGTATAGTAAAATTATAAACAAGAATTAAAAACAACAATTATAAGCTAAAAATAATTATTTATTATTAGAAGAACAAAGTGGTGTCGGAAAAGGACATACGTGCACCGACTATTAACTCTGAAATAGATTATTGAAAAAAACTAGGGAATTTAATTTAGAGATACACTTAGCCTTTATAGTCTACATTAAAGCTTTTGATAGAATACCAACTCACAAATTATGAAACATAATATTGTATATAAGAGGTTACTCCATACATTTGATACAGACATCTGACAAGTATGTGAAAATAATAAAGCAATTATTGACACTGGAAGAAATCATTTGAAGGAAATTCTTATAAATCGACATGTTGGACAAGGTTATAGTATATGACTGACATTACTCAATATTTATATCAATTACATGATACAATAATGGCAAGCTTATGTTCCATAAGGCATTAGACTCTCAAACTACCTCAATCAACATCTTTTTGATGGTAGATGAGCAATAATTCTACTAGAGACAGAAGGTATTCTGCAGAAATCAGTGCATTCCCTCCAATGAATCGGACATGAGAATGTTCATTTCAAAAACTAAAACTACAGCAATGCATGGAAATTTTCTGTTTAATAAAGCAAATACATAAAATTTGGGCTGAAGTATAGAACACGGTACAACTTTTGGAAGTGGCACTTGGCGTTGCTCAGGCAAGGAGGAAATCCATGGTCGAGAGGACGAGGAGTAGTTAGGGGGTTTTGAGGGGAACCTTTCGGAAGACGGGTAGTGATCAATGTACATAACATGATTCATAATTATAATAAGCAAGGCATACGCATTATATATAAATTTTTAAAATTAAACTACTAAAATAATTTTCAGGCTTTGGATTGATTACTTTCTTCATCATCTCACTTCATGTTCTTATACCTTGTTGGAGAACCGTAACTTTTGTGGTTGTTGAAGTTAAAGTTCCATAGTGGTAATTTTGCAGAATTATTTCATCTTTTTGTGTAGGTCAAAGTAGCTGTCAAAGTGGTTACCTAAGTTTCTTTCAAATGGTTAGGTTTCTTGTGCTCTTCTTATTCTTTGTGATATGTACTTTTTTGATCAAGGAGTGTTTGTTTTACGATGATGAGAATAAATGAGTATCTTTATATGTGCTGTCGAAAGGGGTGTTTGGCTGTGATTAAGTGGATTCAAAACCATGGATTGGTTGCATCATGGTTTACATTTATAAAGGTGTCTTATGAGATAGACCAAATGGAAATTAAATGACTGAGGTTATAGCATCCAGTGAAGTGCAGTAAGAAAGAGGTCATTCACAAGCCTAAGTGATCGGTGCAAAAGGAGCCACGGTTTGTGAGAAACAAAATAACTATGAAAGATTCTTGTCTTTCCTTGAGGTCATCTCCAACAGAAACAAAACATGAAGAAATCACTTTTTTAGTGTTTTATTCATTTATTGTAAAGTGATTTTCATACTGTTAGAGGGAGGGCATAAGGAGACACCCCTTTTGCTTCCTCCTGTTCCCCTCTCCACCCTCTTCCCCATTTCCTCTACCATTCGCTTCATTACGGTGTACCATGTTCTCTTCTTTAACTTTGACTCACCTTCTGGAGGCAGGCACTCCACTACCCCAGGGTCCAAATCATCTGGTTGCCTTGCTGTACTCAACATTTCCAATCGCTGGTCCAGGCTCTGTGGACGGGCTGGTGCTGGAACAGGTCGAGCCTCCCCTGGCACTCTCCCAACATTTGCAGCAGAGCCTTCAGCAGCTCGACCCCCAGCTAGTTGTGCCAGCTGACTTTGCCGTCGTTCTCCAGCAAAATATAAATCAGCTGGTTCATCATTGCCAGAATCACCATCATCAGTTTTCTATAAAAGATTGTGAGAAATAATTTCAAGGATCAAAGCAACTTAACCACACCTTAATTTCTCAGCTCTGAAATAAAGATTTTTGAATCCTTCCCCATCTCAAAACAACATGATCCACAGTACAAAATGTCAATAGAACTGCAATAGCAACTAACAAGAAGTAATACAGTAGTAAAGTATTATACATAATACAACACAAAAATACAACAGAACAAAGCAGTAGGAGAAACAAATGGGGCACATGTGGATTTAAAAAACTTTTTTTTCTCTGGCTTACAAAACTTACACAAATTAGAATTTCTATTTAAATATGTTGGCCCAATCCCTTCAATTAAAATGTTGGTTAAAGGTTACATAGTACACCCTCAGAGAAGCGTGGCGGCAGGGGGTAAGGGTCTTCTCAAGCCCTCCCTCAAATTATGCTACGTGCTCTGATAGAAATTAATAAAACTTATGGATAGGCAATTTTCATGGCTTGCCCTTCATATGCTTTGTCCCCGCCGCATTGTAATGCCAATTTACTTTCAACGGCAAGTTTTTTCATTTTGTTTGCCCAGATACAAGTCATAGCACTGCAGTCCACTGCATTATTGCCAATTCACTTTTCAAGAAAGCCTCCAGAATTCAAACTCGCAGTTACCGCCAGAGCAGCGCGAAGTGCCAGTATAATCGACTTCTATAAGTTGTACCGTGCACTAGACTTCAGCCAAAATGTGTATTAAAATCATTAATCTTAAGTGTAGTTTAAAGCTGCTCTTTGCATATATCAGTATTCGGTTACATGACCTTATCTCATAGTTGTTCTTCCACTGTTCATTTACATAGAAGCATTAAATGCCACACATATTATTACACTAAACAAAACACTAAATTTAAATATGCCATGATGATGTTGGATTTGAGGTGTATGTAGCCCTGTAATTGAGGTTTCCTTTGGACTTTCATTTTGTCAAATAAATAAATAAGTCATGAAGAAAAAATCATTTAAATTGAGAACCGACCATCTGATGCTTCACATAAATATATATTTTATTTTTTAGAAATATTTTAATTACATCATGCTCTTGAAAAATGAATATAAAATACTGAACTAATTACGAAATAAGATGGCTTTCCTAACAACGATATGTAGTTTTACTGACAAAATATATCTGAACCCATGGTTCCCTGCCTGAATCTTACATCTCTCAAGGAAATCAATTTGAAACGATTTTGTAACATTCCCCCTTTTCATTTCTTCTACTTCTAGGCACCTTGTATCCAATAAATAAATATATTCATGCATTTCAAACATTAAAATTGGGGACAGTCAGCAGTTGACAATGGTCAGATAGAAAGATCACAATCAGAGAGAAGTGTTGAAGACATAAAGTGAACTAAGAAGTTCCTCTTGCAACTTTCATTTCAGAAACTCTCCCACCTAGGCAGAATTAAAAATAACAAAAAAGTATTTCTGTTAATACAAGTCTAGCATAAAGTTAAGAAAACAAAAACACAAACAATTTTTAATTTGTTTCTAAATTAATATTACTAACCTTTGTTTTGTATAATTATAAAACATATAGCATCCAAAATATATACTTAATAATACTCTAGTTTATGTACACTGATTTCAGAAAATTAACATTCTATTACCCTGTTCATTAATTCTTTAACTTACTTCACTAAATATAGGAACTGCTTCGGAATAACTTAGATCACCAGGGAAAAGAAACGCATGACATGTTGCACAAACCGGCTCTTCAAAACAAGGGCCATAATAACCATTACACAGGTAACATGTAGTATGCTGTAACATGAAAATAAAATGATTATCATTTGCTCACGAATTTACATGACAGTGCATGTGCAATTCCCAATGATTGTTAGCATACGGTGTACTCGAAGTCTTCAGTGTAGATGCCTCTCTCGTTTCTGATTTGCGATGTCGTCTTACATATTTCTTCAATACCTTCATCAGAGGCCAGGGTAAAATCGAAACTGCTCGAAGGCTGACCAGTAATACTTGAAGCCATTGCAACAAAATCGTTTTTTACGAGCTAGTATTAATAAAGAAATCTGCTCTCAAAGAATCACGGCACATTTCATTTCAGATCAAATTTTAACGTAATCGGATAGTACTTGTATATTGACAGAAAACAATAACCTACACCAATACCCCAACTTGGACTGACATGAGTCTACGCGTGCGCTGTGCGCCGCACATGAGAGCCTCTCACGGCCTATCGCCTCACATTCTGTTTATATCTCTCTCTGGTCTCTCACCAAAATCTGCTCAAATCACACCCATATTATCTACTCAAATATGCTCTCTTCAAAGACTAATATGATGGCCAATGGTTATAGACGAGGCTAGATCCAAAGCAAATCAAAGAGAATTAGCAGAATATTAGTAAACGGTATCGAACGTTTAAACAAGAAACATTATACAGCTACCAAATGCGCCATCTTATTCTGTATTAATTCCTTAGGCGTTCTCAAAGAGAATTACGGCGTTTCACCAACTAATCATGTGGAAGCAACAGGGCAATTTGAAATATCTAATGTGTGAATGTCAAATTTTATCCTCCTCATTTTGCCTTTATAGTCATACGGTCTTTTGTGAATTATTCCTTTTTTTAAATTCTATGAAATGAATATTTATGAATTATTGAAATGAATTTTAGCATCACCCTTCTGAGCTTTCCTCCAAGGTCAATAGTGAATATTTTTATTACAAAATACACACAAAGAATTGGTCGAAATAGGAAGGAAACATTCAATTTATGTTTATAAGCAGGGTTTTTTTACACCAGCATTATAAACGCCTCACATATTTGTATAGAAACTAACTTATGTATTATATCCGCACGTTTTCTTGAGCCCCGGAATATCTACCCTCACTCCTTTCCCAATATTAGTTAAATTAAGAATAAATAAAAGCAACGAGTGTTGTAAACAAAATAACGATAAATCTTCGCTCCCGTGTATTAAAAACTGTTTTGCGTCCAAAAATGAACTACAAATTCGACGTAAAATTCCTTTTGTCAAAATAACCAAACTCCCACTCCTCTCGCATCTAGAGACGCGAGGGCTCAAGAAAACAGAGAGTATACGTGTGCGGATAATATTACTACTTGTGTCAGGGGCGGATCCAGGGACAAATTTTGTGAGGGGAAATTCAAAATGTTTCGGTTGAATGTGTCTTATTACAGATTTTGTAAAATGTCGCAGGCTACACTCAAATCGTGCTGCGATATGATTTCATTCGTTTGAATGATTATCCGAAAATAGATCTGCTTGAGGGTTTCGTGACAAGTAACCATTAATAGTTACCGAAACATTTTAGAGGGAGAGATTTCATTCCCCGAGGTTCGGCGCCTGCTTGTTTCTATGTTTCTTGGGTATGAGAAACCGTGGTAGGTTTCGCAATACTTGTAATTCCTGTTGCGTGTCAAACTCTAAAAGAACTTATCAAATGGGACTGAAGCTACAAGTGTTTTTGATACTAAATGAGGTTACGTATCCTGAATTACGAGGAAAATGGCTCTTCGCGGCCATTAGGGTTACGGAGTGTTTGAATACTTGAATTTTAAATGGTATTTTAAATACATTTTGTATTTGAAAATGTGTATTTTTGAGTTAATCAAACGTGGGGACCGGCTCCCCCATCCTCCATTTACATGACGCGAGGCCGCATACCTTTCTTGGCGGGCCCAACGCTTCCCTCATCACTGACCGGTGTGATTAACCCAAGAAGCAAGCACAACGGCTGATCAGGCATGCAATTTTCGGGAGAGAGGTAACTCAAAATATTTTATTGTAGTCCCCTGTCCATCATTCAGTACTTGTCATTTTTCTGGATAGAGCACTATGATTTCTGGGACCCGATTCTGTGGCCAAATTACAAGTTTTCAACTTTTATAAATGAACTCTTTGGGCAACGTAATGTGAAATATATCCTCCATAGTTATTTATTTTACATCCACTTTGTTGATTGTTGCCCCCCCCCCTCCTCCTGACGCGAGGCAAACTTGTGCCCCTGTTCATGTTCGGTCTCCGCGCCGTAGTGCCAGCCTTCAAGCCAAGGTGAAGTTTTAATCTGTGCTGTCTTTGCGTGTTTTGCTGTTTTCTTTGAAATTTTGCTATTTTGTCATATTCTCATTTTGTTATCCTCCATGATTATTTTTCATAGCAAATTAGTTTTCATGCACAATTCAATTCACACTTCCTAGAAATTACCACTTTATACATTGCTGTGAATTTAGTTCTATTGACAATAACTTCAAAATTTATTTTGACTTTTGACTTGACGGGGTTTTAAGGGCTTGGTGCACGGCTTATTCTGTTAGTAGGTTATAATTAGTCATGTTGCGAACAAAGTACAACCCTTGACAAATAATTGTTTTTTCTTTCCCGTGTATGTATGTTTATGCGGAGTATACGTAGTATAGGGAAAGTTAAATAATACTGCAGAAAATCGATTTCGAGATTTCAACGGAAATACCCTTTTGGGGTCCCCTAATACCGAGTGTTTTTTCAAAAGGTCCGTCCGTCCGTCTGGTGTATGTGAACAACACTAGCGCCTAAACCACGAAAAGGATTTTTTCCAAATTGAAATAACCCTTGCTCATTTGAGCTGAGTCGAAGCTCTGCGATTTTGAAAATAATTCATTAGTTTTTGAGGGTGCTTCACATAAAGCCCCCGGGACATTTTCAAAATTTTCTCAAAAATGGCTCCAAATTTTTTCTTTACATATATTGTAAGAATAGAGTAAAATACACTTATAAATGTGGCATAGGTCCGCTTTTCACGGTTAACTCTAAATTTTCGAAAATTTCAAAAGTTTGAATTGCTTTAGGGTCTTCCTACAACAATAATATTAAAGAGAGACATTTTTTCGTCAAATAAAATTTGTTGTCCATAATTTGTTCTTTGATTAAGGTCATGCACATTTTTTTTGGAAATGTTCGTAGTTTTCGCGCAATATTACGTGCAAGTTTAAAAATTACCAAAACAAGATTTCTCTCAAAAACCGCTCCAAATTATTTCTTTAAACTTTTGGTAAGGATTGTGCTAATTGCACTCCATAAGATTACATAAACGCCATTTTGCTACATTCTTTTGTTTTTTTTTCACAAATTATGATTTTTTTTTCTTCTCTCACGTCGTTAATATTTACATCAGCAATTTCCTCGTTCTGTGATTGGTTCATTTCTTATGTCTTAATAATAAGCACAGAAGCTTGCAAGCTTTTAATTTAACGTCTTACGTGTTATGCTTATGAAAACGCATTATGAATGAATCCGCTAATGGACGTAATCCTAACTTTTATGTTAGTGCCATGTTTATGCCAATGTTTTGCATTGAGAATAGGCCTTACACCTAGACCACGAATTGAAACGATTTCAAAAACAATGAACCTCACGCCGAAGTGGGCGGAACAAAACCCCTTGACTTTCTCAGCGGAAAAGTCGCAGGCAACCTTTTACACCCGCCGCCAACACAAATACACTAAACTTTTTTACACCTTCAAAACAAATTACACTTGGCACACAAAAACTGACATGGGCGCCAAAGGCAACTTATTTAGGCGTCACAATGATCGACGCGCTGGCATTTACATGTCAGGCGAATTCGATCAAAATTGCAGAGTTCGACCTGAGTTCGACTCTTACAACCTCTTTTGAGGGAACCTACACTCCCCTTGGAACTTCGCTTGGCACGCTATAAAACGTGTTGCCGGCCTGTGGCCACCTACGCTGCGGCAACACGGTGGACCACAGCACAGAAGTTCAAGAATACATTTGAGCTAGTATAGAACAAAGATCTACAGCTCACAGCACGACCTCCGTTTCGGAAAGTATTGAGGAAGGAACTTGATATCGAGTCCTTCACTCAATGCTTGAGACAGCCTTCGTTTAACGAACCTTATCAAGCCTTTCAAACCAACGAAATTACGCAAAAAATAACGCTAAACAATTAGCTCGACACGTCTTCCTATAGGACAAAGAAGACAAACACTCCCCTCTGATATTCTGAGAGCGTAGTGCATCACAAAAGCCTATTTGGTTATTGACTAAGATACGACGCAAATCCACACCAGCCACTTACACATAGCAATAAAACGCGAAATGCGTGCGAACTGCAACACAACTACAATCACACAAACCTTTGGATAAGCCAAAAAGAAAGGGAGATTTCCTTCCCATTTTCTTTCACTATAACCGTGCAAATATAAAGGCATCGATCCTGGATTTCAATACTCATTTTCTGCCGCTACGGCCTGTGTCACACGAGCGTTACGTTCACGCGCGTCGTAATTACCACTGTATCTTTTGCAGAATGGCCACAGCGTTCGTGTGCCGTTTCGCATATGATAGTATTGTTCTATGACGCGTGTTACCTCCATGAACGCAACGCTCGGGTGCAGGGACCCTTAGTCCTCACGGTTAAACTGCCTTTGTCAAGTGAGAGCGTAGGCTTCCGTGGCTGGAGTCAGTTTTTAATTAATTCCTTGGCTCCTCGCCCTGAGGAAGGTCGCAGAATGGCGACCGAAAAGTTGGAACCTTGGCCACGCGGCGTAACCCGGACCACCAATTAAATACTGCCTTTGTCAAGCTGAGGCTCAAGGTGGGAACTTTCCGAATCCGGAGACACAATGGGTTACCACTGTCCCCACCCACCATGCCACAAACGGACACACAATTAGAGCTTCAGAGTTGACACGGGATATATAGCAGAATGGCATGGCTTCTACCCTGCTGCACACTTGCCAACTTACTTATCTACTCCAAGGCAATTGTTCAGGAGAGGGTTAGTTACAGACTGCATAATAAGAATTCTCAGCGCATCCAGGACATTCCTTCCCAGTCACCCAGACTTTCCGGAGTGCACCCAACAAACAGATGGATGGAATCTAACCGTAAGGTTCCCATGAGACCACAGCATGCTCAGCCCTCAGCTCCTAGGGCACCAATTCACTCTTAACACAGGTCGCCATGCACAGGAACACTGCATGGGCTCTAACTTACTGAGGTCAGTGACAAAGAATAGGGTCACACACAGACACATGCTGCAGAGGACAAATTTCATTCATGCAGCATTGACATACATTAAGTCCAAGTTGCCCAAGCCACTAATACACTATTATATTTAGCACAATTGTTTTAGCCATTTACATCCGATTCTGCTGTCCTTTAACAACAGAGTTAGGTGCCACCTAAGCATCTGATCCCCCCTCTCCCCACATAGCTGGAATCACATGAATTGGTCACCGGAATAGCCAAAATATTCTGGGGTAATGAAAGAAAAGAGCAAGAATATCATAAAGAACATCATTTATTCACAAATGCAATAAATATTACAACTAAGTACAAACATGCTTACTCTTTTTAAAATTAATGGAAATGATATAACGTTGTGGTACAGGGACAGGTGGTGAAAATCCAGTGGCATAGGTTTTATCTTCAAAAAGTAATCCATACTCCTCTGTAGCAGTGGTTGGAACCTTATCCACCACAGCTTTGTAGAAACACGTTGTTTGAGGGTAATGAGCCATCACTGTCAAAAAACACAATCCAATATATAAATACTTGACGACATATTGCAATTCACAAATATATTTATATTAATTACTACTTATATGACTAAATTTAAAAAAATATTTTGTTGAAGTCTAACGTTTTTATTTAACATTCACTGAAACTGTGAAATATATCTGAAGTTGTCTAGGCAAGACAACACACAACAACAAGAGAAACACAGTTAGAAAAACATGAATATTCACATAATATTCATTACATTCAAGTCTTAATGAAAATAAAAATTTCAACAAACTTAATGTATGGGCAGAATTTACACAATAAATTTAAAGCAAAAATTTGGTGCCATTACTCACAAATATTTATTAAAATTATATTACGGTAAAACTTTTTAATGCAACAATGGCATGGTTATGAAAAAAGCTAGTTTGGGCACAAGGAAAATATTGGGCTAACTTATGATGCTTTCATTACAAATAGATGAATTTCGGATAATGAAATTCCAGAAATATGAAGAATTTCAAATGTGCAGTCTGAAGGGTTGACATGCATAAACATGCTGAGCACATACACTGCTCCCCTTCCCCCTACTTTTTTATACATTTTAAATTAGTTTAAATTAGGGTAAATATATAAAATGGTTCAATTTCATTTTTTAAAATTGTAAAGTTCATTTCTTTTTTCACATTCATATTTATTATTTTATTCAATTTTAGAATTTATTATGGAGCTCAATTGTTTGTTCATGCTTAGGGCCTCTTAAGAGTAAATCCTACCAAAGGACCATTGGAGATATTGGAGAAGTACATTATCAGTTTGATCAGGTAGCAAATGAAGAACCAGCAAGACAAACATTGAAAGGAAGATTTTGTTTATTCTCACCAGCAAAAGGTGCAAGTTATCAAAGTAATGTAGAAATATTTTGAGAGATATCTTGGAAGAATGTGTGGTGAAGAATACATATGAATGTATCATAGAGGAGACTGCTTGTAAACTTTTTGTAGTATGATATGTTGTAGGAAGTGTAAGAGTTCCAACAAAATAATGTTTTGTATCAAATACACGAAATGGATGTGCCCTGAATATGCAAGATATGTTTCTTTGGACTTTTGTGATGTGTAATAAGAAAGTTAGCACCATCATACTTGAGTCTAAGCTCAGTTTTGGCTACCCCCATTGTTGCAGCATTCCAAGCCTGAGCACAGTTTGTTCTTGTGTTTTTCCAGTAGTTTCACAGATTTAACACCCTCTACTAAGGTTTGGGGTTCACAAGGTCATTCCCCAGGGCAAGCTGGTTTGTGTCAGATTTCAGTTCTATTTTGAGATTCATAAATGAAGAGCTGCATTCACAGTCCAGACCAAGGCCTTTGAACTCTCCATCAAAACCGGAGACAAAGCTCAAGGATGCTACTCTAGGAAGTGCTAGTGTCACCAGGTACAATTGCAGGTTAGGTTCACCAACTTCCGAACATAAAAATTAGCTAATTTGTGAGAAATAGGAAAAGCATCTTTTAAATGTTTAATTATTCATAATATACACACATAAGAAACCACCAAAGAAAGTGTGGACATCGGTGTTATCTCTTGTAACATATATGCTTGCTTGCATCCCACAAACTCGCGCAGCAGCCACACACATTTTAAGTATCGTTGACAACAGTTCGTGTCTTAGTTCCTGTAAGAAGGCGCTACAGGTTAATGTGCCACCGTAATAGTTTCAACCACGTCATATGGGAGTTGAAAGGCTCTGGTCCAGACCCATGTATTGTTGCACTTGGAGGTGATTGTGGTCTCATTCAAGGAAAGACACTGATGATGTTGAATATGCACTATAGCTTCCTGTATAACAGATTGTTTTGAACTGAATCATACTAAAACTAAATATTATTAAAATATGAAGAAATAAAGGATGCGGCTATACCTTGCAGAAATTGTTCCACATTTAGAAGGTTAGGCAACATTTGAAGTCTGAACCTTCCTCTTATATGAATATACGTAAATATGTTTAAAACATTGCTGAGTGTGTATTGTAGTGATGAGTGTGTTTAAAACAATGCTGAGTATATGTCGGGAAGAGTTAGTTGTTAACTTAGGGTTAAAAATGCTTGAGATACCATGGTACGCAGGGAGTGTTAAGTCTAGGACGCAGAGTGTGAAGATCATTACACTTTCTCTATTAAACTTTTTGTTTTTTGTTTAAATATTGTTTTATAAATTTATTGACTCTTAGGTCTTTTTCACATATTACACGATATATATAGATTGAAAATAATTTTCATAAAAGTCATCATTTCATAAAGTTCATTATGATATTTCATTTTATATTTAATTACGAGACACATCATCGTAATCATAACTTGACATCCACACAAGCATTTCTGATACAATCAAGCAAGAAACAACAAGAGGTTTAATCTACCACAACACAAATTCTAACAGAAGATTGTAGGTTACCAGCAATAATTAAAGGCAGTCTTACCAACAGATCCCTGGGGAAAGAGTGCATGGGGATCAGTTTCCGGATTCGCCCGCATCAAAGGCAGTGGAATCACATGGCGGCGACTCAGTACTATGTGACGGTTCTTAGGTTCTTGATCAATATCATCTACTTCATATTTGTTGGTTGCGGGATTGAAGCTCACAACCTCTGCTAAAATCCAATTGTTTTCTTCAGCACCCACAACTAGAGCTGCCACCATGTCACCTGGCTGAACACACGCAGATATTGATTGATTTAATTTACTGGTGGTAGCAGCAAGAAGTTCATGTAGTACATGTCACATCTTAACATTGTTGGCAGAGATTACATGAATTTATACGTTACAGTATAAATTATATGGTTAACACAATAACAACATTTTTTATCATTGTACAACTGCTGTGTTTGGTTGACCACTATAATTGGAAAAAATTGTCTAAGCAAAGTTATGCTTGTTGTTCTCAGTATTCATGCATTCAAACATCACAAAACAGAAATGCACATGAACTTAATCATTACCCTCACACAAAATAATAGAAAACAATTAACTAGGATAACACCAGAAGAAGTGGCCACTTAAAGAAATAAATTAGAGAAATAAGAATTGAAGGCTTCCCACTTGGAGAACATAGAGCGCTTGCTTTCCTATGGTAAGGATTAGAATGAAGATTATGAACTTATTTTCCCTTATTTTACATTTAAAGAGTAAGCTGACACATCTTAGTAATATTTGCTTTCAAAGACGGATCCAAGGGGGGGGGGTGTCCTCTTGGGTTTGTTCTTGTAGGGGGGATTATATAAGTTTGATGATTTTATTCGATGTTGTAACATAATTAATTAACTATTATGTTTTTAAATATACTGTTGAAAATCTCAACCTTAAAATCAGATTCTCTGTTAAAATCTCGTTGAACAAAAACTTCCCCAGCTCTTCTAGATGAAACAAAATTGTTTATGCAATTTAACTTAGTATAATTTTCAATTACTTTATGCTTCAACATTTTTTAAATAAAATTTATTCATGATTTAAAAACAGATGTTCTTTCTAATACTTTGTGGAAAAATATTAATCCCAAATTAAAAAGAAAAATATTTCAAGAAAATACCTTTGAAAAATATTTAAGTTTCATGAAAGAAAATTTTTTTTTCAATGTTTATAGTGTAGTAAATTTTATATAATTAGTGGTGGCATCCAGAAAATATATTTTTAATTATTTTGGTTTCTGACACCGGATTCTAAGTAAAAATGGGAAAACTGAATATGTTGAATTACCCAGCTAAATTGCGAATTAGTCATATTTAGGATTTCAGCATAACATGCACACCAAGTAAAATACCAAAAGTTAAAAATATTATTTTCATAAAGTATCTTCTGTAATATGCTCATTTCTTTTATTAAACTCTGAACATCTACACTTTTCTAAATAATGAACACTTCTAAGATATAAATTAAAAATGTTTATTTCTCCCCCCGTTCCTGTTTGTGAGAAGTTTCAATCTCTGTAGCAGTTTTTACCCAAACAATCACTAGAAAAATTGATCAAAGAAGTTCAAAAGTGAATGCTCCAGAAACTCTGCTACAAATCAACAAGGCCAACTCAACTTGAATAGACATAAACCAACTGATATACCTTTGCAATGTAGAATGGATCAGCTGGCACAGCCCCACAAAGGGGAGGTGGCTTCTCCCCAACTTTCCCCACCCAAAGTGGTAAAGTGGGTGCAGATGTCTTCAACATTTGCATCAGGGCTCCTCGGCCTATTGTCTCTTTATTTCCAGCCTTCCGTACTTGGATACGGCGCTCATTGCGGATAACTCTAATCTCATTGATTTTTGCCAGAGCTTGTCGGATCTTATCTTCCTCCTGAGCAGCATCAGCTACGGCTGCAGTATACAGAGATTTCAACTTTTGCTGCAACACAGAACGTGCCAGCACTTTTCAATACAGCTTTCATATTTCAGAATACAGGTGACAATATAAAATTTGAAAGCATTACTGAAGTCATGAGCAGAGGACACATGCCAACTCAAACTGAGATTGCCACTGCACACCTGCATTAACAATCTCAGCCATCCAGGTTGGCAGATGTAATATTATACTTGTATTTACTCTGTTATCACAATGAGGTGCTGCTGAAGGTAGTAGTGTGTCCCAGTAGTGATAGGTAGGTGACGAAATTGGGAAACAGATGGAAAGGAAGTGGTAATGGGAGTGAGAGAATTGTGAGTAGATTCCAAAATGGCGGTACAAAGGTTCGAGGTAAAAGACTGAAAAAATAAGGAAGGTGAGATGGAGGGGTGTTAGACAGAATACACTCAAACTCCATGTTATGGCTTACCAGCTCACTACCAAGTGTATATTTTCCACCACGATTCATGTGCAAACCATGCCAAGCAAAATGATTAGTTGGGAAGAAATTAATTTCAAAAGGGGTAATATTTTTGTTCTCAGATGTAGTCTTAAGGGTAGGTTTGTATGCTCTCATTGCACAACGTTAGTCTTTATATCAGAAGAGCAGATACATAACTACACTGTTGGTGTTTGGTGCCTTGTATCAATTTAATTATTTTAAATCAAATCAAATAGCGAATATTCTTCAGACAAATTAATTAACTTCAAAAATTTTAAACCACTGCATTAGCTCAGCCATTAATATTATGAATAATTATTACCTCTGATGCCAAATTCATATTCGGCAAACACCCAGAATCATATTTCTGTTAGATGCATGCAATTTCCTTGAATTCAAAGGTTTCTCCTCTGGACACTGGTGTATGTGAAATCTTGATTGCAGCAATTACTTAAGTACAACAATTTGAGGAAACTTTTGCAGATTTGCATTTTTCCCAAAACTTCTTTTTTGTGTGTGGGGAGGGGAGGTTACATATAAACCCTTCAAATAACAATAGGTTCTTAACTTTTACCCGAGTTCAATAGAATTAAGGATTTGATAATTACTTCATACAACAACAATTATAAAGCACAAAGAACTTACACAAGATTTCTTTTGAGAAAATGCAAATATTTGTAAGATTACTACCTGGTAATTTGGGGAAACTTTTTCATCTTGATTGATCTTCTCATGAGCTTTTGTTATATTTGTTAAGTTATGTTCACTCATTTTGCGTTTTTCTTCAATGTCGTGAACCAAATGGTACAATGATTTTAAGCGCTCCTGGTAAAAACAAACCCCAAAAAAAGCATTTAGAAGATGAACTGAGAGTACTGTAAAAATAGTGTAATTTAGCTCTCAAAACATGCTAATTGTTTTCAAAACAATGGAGATACAAAACAATACAATACCCTTACAAAATTGCTATGAATATTATTATTACAATAGCACAGGCCTGAAACATAGAAGTGATTAAAAATTGCTTGTGGAATTTGTCCTTATTTTTTTTTTTTTTGATTTGCTATGCTGTAATGAACATTTGTCTTTACCATATCAGAAACTTTCACCTAGCTAATGTGAAATTTTGAGAAAAGAGTGAAGTAATTCACATCACAGTCATCACATTTGCTAGCAAAGGAAAATTAAAAACATAGTTCTGCATATATCAACCATCAGAATTTCTGGATTCATTCTCAGAAACATGTTTTCTAATTTTTGTAGAGGCAATGATACAAGTACATTTGATTGATGAAGTACAGAGTATTTTACTGAATAAACTCTAAAATAAATCAATTCTTTTTAGTTGCATAGTTTGTATTAATATGTTCTATAATGTGAAGATATCTACACAAAGAGCATCCTTTAAGTAGAGCTCATGGCTGGTCCTTGCTTTATCCTAAAAACATGTGTAATAAACTTGCTTTACGAAGTGTGTAATATTGTTTTCTTTTCCCCAAAACAAAGTATCTGAACAAATGTAACGAATATTATCAAGTGAATTGTAACAGGTCCTTGTTGTCTATTTAAAGAACATCTTTGAACATTAATAATTCAACAATGACAAACAGAATTGCTGAATTTTTAAATCAACATAATAGTTTTAATAAACAAAAGAAAACAGCTCAATATATCCAAAATCTAAGCATAACCAAAGAGCTACAATACAGTGCTAAGTGCTACCTAAGGGCCATCTAATGTATGTGTATGTGTAAGCCCTATTAACAGGTTTAACTCCGTATTAACAAATAAAGTAGCTGATTCCTTGACATATAGACTTCTCACTGAGATCTACTTTCAGCCATGGTGTAAGTAATAAATGAAGTAGGTTATTTATACCCAAGTTCAAAATTCGCCACTTGTGTGGATGGTTGTAAAATAAAAATAAATCTACACATAATCCAGAATATTATAAAATTGTGAGAGATTCATGGTTTCTACCAGACTGCAAAAGGTTTTATTCATTATTAACTCAAGATCTCAGGAAAATGAGGAATTCTATGGAATGGCTATAATTTTCATATTCAAATAATCCATGTGGTACTTCCAGTGATTTCATCATGTAAGCATGGAATACAATATGATTTATGTCTATTCCCAGGAAATGACTGCACGTTACCTTAAACAATAGCTACAAATGGCATACAACCCTTCCCAAATCCATTCACACTCATCCCTAGGATCTGGTGGTGGGCTGACCGATTCCATATGGTCCTTCCCTCTCGACAAAGAAAGACTGCTGTACTGCATACATCCATATGTCGGCCAAGGCCTAAATTGGGCTATAACTCAATCAAGAATCATATAAAAAGTTGTCTTATTAATAATTATATTGTGCTGCCAATAGATGGTGCAACTTTTGCAGATTCAGTCCACTAACTGTTGTCAGAATTCATGCATTGTGAAAAACAAACAAAGATTGCCAATCACTTATACAGGTATACCATTGGTGCTTTTTACAAGCATTAAAACTCAATTATGGAATAATGAAAAAATGATAATGTATTTTTAAATTTAGCACTTAAAACTACATATAAATAAGCTACACTTTTCAAGCAATTTTTCGCTGCAGGCCTGCGTTATTGTGGAAACATTTATACATATCAAAAGCTAAATTTAACAGCATAAAATTTAACTACACACATCTCAATAATTGTGACTTTTCAGGAGAGAGAAAAAAGTTGCAATGGTTCCATCACAACCTAATAAAAATGAGACCAATTTCCATCATTTAAATATTTTTCCTGAAAAATTCTGTGAAATGTGCCATTAGAATTCAGAAGAAGATGATGATATTATCTTGCAGGTGACATTATTACCTCAAAATAGCCAAATTCTGAGATATGACTTGTTAAAATTTTGCCATTCATATAGACTACAATATTTAATAAACTCCAGCTCTAATTCTATTTCGAATGTGAATTATTAGCATCCATTTCAAATGTTGCAGAATGTTACAGAAATATGTAGCAATATATCCAGAGATTAAAACATTGTCAAATGAGAACCAGAGAAACACATAACTTCAGAGAAGAGAAGAAAGAACTTTTTTTAAAATGTATTATCTGAATTCAAAGATTAAGTTTATTTTTTATTAAAAAAACAAACAAAACTCTATTACAAAGTAATGTTATGTAGTAATTTCATGGCAACATAGTTTCAAAAATAAATCCAATAACAGCATTAAACAAAATTAAATATTTAAAAACCATAAAAAGACAAGTACTTCTATATCTTTTTTAAAATCATAAACTCCAGTCACACATTATGCTCAGAAAATAAATCCAAAATGTTTAACATTTGCTCATAGAATTATTTTTATTTATTTATTTATGCCAAAGCGTTGTGCATTAAAACTGCTCATCAACTTATATAAAATGATTCTTAAACCTTAATACTATTTACATATACACTCAATCGTGTCCAATTTATTTCAATTGGATAAAATGTTACGAGGCATTATTTCCAACCATACTAATTCTAATGGGTTAAATCTTTTTATTCACCTTAACTGGTTCTCGTTATCCTCGTTTCGAAGATCACAATATAGGCCTCTATTTCTAATGTACCATTTATCATGCTTCGAGGTACTTTATTTTGAAAGATCTGGATATGTTTTATAATACTTTTTTGGGGACAACTCCAGAGCTGGGTTCCATAGAAGCAAACCAGTTTTCGAAATAGGTTGTAAATTAATATTTTGTTTTGTATGGACAGCTGAGAAGTTTGACCCAATACCAATACAATTTTCTAAATTTTAGATTTAGATTGTCCTTTTTCTTTTTGTCTTGTACCTTCTACCACAGTGTAACATCTAGTGCGATATCTTCATATTTGGCAATGCTTACAGAAGACTCTTGAACGCCATTAAATATGAGGAGGAAAGCTTACGATACTCACGTTCTTGAACTTAATTGAATCTTGTAATTTATTTGTATGTAATATTTCTTCTAATTTTTATTTACTCCGTTTTTATTAACCTACACCAAACATAAGCTTAATTGCAGTAATAAAATTATCATCATCATCATCATTATATATTATTATTATTATTATTAATAATAATAATAATAATAATGTAAATAGATTTTTATTCCTTCTGTTCAACCTCATTTTTAAATTATCTTCTCATTTACAGTAAAAATCACATCATAGTGATCAGAGCTCAGGACAAAATATTCCTGAATATCAATTAAGTTCGGAGATACATTCCTTGAGACGTATAAAAGATCAGGTGTTTTATTCTGTTCTTGGGCCAGTACGTAGGCTTACCTGTAGAACGTAAAGTGCAATGCCTCTCTCTCAGAGCTTTCCTCATTTCACTTGCCTTTGATTGTGAGATTACCAGACCTCCAGAATATGTGTCTGACAGTATAGTCTCTCTCAACTACAAATCTATCTCAAAGTATGCTCTAGGAATTTATTGTAATCTGATTGATAAACAATTTTTTTTAGGTAGTTTGACTAGAATATATACCAAAAAGATCATGAATGTTGACATATTTTGGAGCTTTCCCAGTAGCAACATGAACTAAATCTCATTCAACAACTGAATGGCCCTGTTTGATTAAATCACAGGAATCATATTTCTATTCGATTGCTTCCAACTCAAAAGAGTTCATAGTGCTGTTACTTCATTGCTTCTTGCTCTTGTTTGAATTTATGACACTGGTTGGTAAGTCCTTTCTTGGCAAATAGAAAGATAAGTTATATGTATTGAATATTTCTTTATCAACATTTTTTCTGGAGCAATTTAATCACAGTCCTTTTTATAAAGTCCCTACATAATTAGTATGTTCATATCTCTTAACAACTGCCTGGAAGTAATGTCAGTATCGAAAAGGAACACATTTCACTAATAACTTGGCATGATTCCTTACTCCCTCTTTTGCCTTACTGGGTCTTTTTCAAACCTGTAAAATGCAATTTCCTTTGGTTAGATGCCACAGTTGTGTTATTGTAATCTCTTTTCTTTTGTACATTTCATACAAATGTTTCTTCACATCAAATGTGATGAGGTAAAATGCAAGACCACTTTAACTTCACAATTGACTTTTATCTCAAAACATATTTTAATTACATTTCTCTAGGACCAATTGCTTTGACAAGAAAGCCTAACTGATCCCCTGGGTTAGTTGTGTTTTTGTTGTTTCTGTGATGTCTGCGGAAAAATCAAATCCATTTTGGTACGCAAGAGTGAATTCTGCCAGTAAATTAATTACAAATATGTAGTGAACTATTCTCATGAGGAAAAGATAAAAGGGTTATTAATACCATAGAGCTTTAGTACATTACACTTCGTCATCAATAATACAAGCTATCCACAAAAAACAGAAAATATTTTTATTTCTCTCCTTGCACGTATCTATAATGCTATAGTTATGTTCTTGCCTACTTCTATTCTGCTGTACCCTACAAATGAGCGAGCCTGTATCCTGTTCAATGTCCTCTCTAACATATCTATCCCAATCAGAATCTACTGTAGACGTGCGATTCTCATTCAGTCAGCAGTGGCATCATGTACACAGATTGCAGTGCTCTACCTGCAAACGTAAAGTGAATGAGTAATACTACATGCGACACAAAAAACATAATAACCAACATGTCTATATGACTCTCACACAAAACCATATATCACCAACGGTGATAAGAACTCCTCATTTTTTGGGGTAAGTGATAAAAGATACATAGCTCAGGTTCCAAATAGTGGTTCTCAAAGTGAGGAGATTCTGTTGAAAATCTGAAAATCTCATTTTTAGAGTTGCCTTTCTCTGGTTTTCACTCATCAAAAATATCAAAGAAATATTGAATTGCTACAAAACATAATTGTTAACGTTATTTTTTTTAAAAAATACTCACCTGTACCTGGAAAGTAGCAGCATCGGCTGAGAAACTCATTGTTGGGCAATACCAACGTCCTTTTATCCAAATTATCACTCGCAAACTTCTTGATTGCAGGTTTTACAATCTGACATGTGTATGCCAATATATATCACATGGCCCCATGACACCACAATGAGAAGAATTAAGAGCTGCAATGGTATATATTATTAACATTAAGTGTCAAATAATTTCAATAAATCTATTTCCTAATTATATAAAAAATCCAAGCCAAAAAATTCATTTGATTTTTAAAAATAAAGTACTTCAAAATCAATCTGAAAAGAAAAAAAGGCAAATACACAATATTTAAGTATTTACACAATAGTCATATAAAATACAAAAATAATAGTAATGCAACAGTTGAATCCCTAGTTTATTGTTTATGTTATTGCTAAATAAAATGTCCCACACAGTTGCAAAACAAAATAAAATATCAAGAGCACCAAGTAGCTCATCTCTGTACCAGCTGGGCCAAATTCAATTTCAGTCTCTGACAGTACTAATCCCAAATCTCAGTTGATGTTAACTTGTGCTATCATTTGAACACTATGCAACAACAATTTTCTGACACGTTCTGTTCACACTCTCAGTTCATGTGAACTTGTGCTATCATTTGAACACTATGCAACACCAATTTTCTCATGACGAAAGTTTCCCCTAAAATTATAGTGTTAGATATTAACCTATTCAACTATTAAACAAAACCTTAATAATTTCGAATAAAATGTAATTAATCTCTACTTACAAAACTCACGATATTAACTCCTTTCCTTCGTAAACGTACGAAAGTCATTTGATTTTTTTCATGCTTTTTTACACGATTACTAAGTGTTTGTAAACATAACATATACGTACATAAACAGTCGCCTAACAAACACCAGTTCACCAGACCAGAACCACCAAAAACCCAGAACTCACAGCTCTCCACAATTAAATAGAAAGAGTAAAAAAAAAACACAAAGAGAGAATGGTTACCACTGGTTACAACCAAAGAGTACAACAAAGAGATGGCGCTCAACATTTAAATGAGAAGACTAATTTATTAGGCATTCCTGAGCGCCATCTTTTTCTGTATTGAATCAGATTGGACATCTATCAGCCAATCGTGTGGAAATAATAAGAAAATTCATATAAATAGAGCGTAAGTCATGAATACAAGTCAGGTTATATACACGAAGCCGTCCACGAACAGCGTTTTCCTAATGATGACAGCTGGAAAACTTGTCACTCAAGCGTACACGAGGTAGTCTATTGGACAAAAAGTCTGAGACGGGAGAGTATTCCCCAAAAACCCCAGGAGTGTACCGAACGCAAAATAGCGTGCCTCCAGATAGTATCGTGTGCTTTTTTGATGTCGAAGATTGCCACTAAGTGTTTCTTCAACGCAAAAGAGGAGGAAATCTGTGTTGTTAAAGTCAATAAGTAGTCTAGTGTCGAAATATGTTTTCTAAAACCACATTATATTGGACCAGACGGTGGTTTAGTATACATTAAAATATTTTACCACTGCATCTAGTGAGAGAAATAGGACAGTAACGACCAATTCTTCTCTTCTTTAGGGATCGGAATGTGTAATGTTTCCACGCTATATATTTGGTATGCTGGGCTCACACCAGATACGATTGAAGAGATCAAGGAGAAACGTTTTATCTCGTTCTGGGAGAGAAAAAGAGAACTGCCGAAGACCAAGCAGTAAGAAAGTGCACGGCAGTTTTATAAAGAAATGTGATCAACAAGGGTTCGTCAAATACGTGGAGAGTGCACGTCGTGAACATCCACAAACTGCAGTGAAAATAAAAATTGATATTATCGAACTTGTAGTTAATGCCCAGAAAAAGCATTACTACATGCAATAAAATTGTTTAAGCTCAAAATAAATGTATTTAAACCACCATGCATATACGGATTTTAATCCAGGTCCGCTTCTAAACCAAATTCTCCCCTTTTATTGCAAATTAAAGTAATCTTCCAAGAATGAAATGTAAGACCATAATATACAACTCGAATGTTGAAGTATGCAAAAATGTTTTCTTTAAATATGAAAAAATCATGTACTGTAATGTACCAAACAGGAGCAATTATTCGTCGCTATGAGTCACACTATCGCCGTGACTGTGTACTGTTATCATGACTGTGACCATGTACTGTAACCGTGACTGTCACCATGTACTGTAATGTACCAAACAGGAGCAATTATTTGCCGCTATGAGTCACACTATCATAGAGGGAGGGTTGCCATCACACGTAAGGTGCGACAGTCGTTTCCAGACACCAGGATGCAAGCACTGAATTTATTTAGGAGGGCGCCAAGCGTATACCTTACCTGTGATCTGGGCACCGGCGTTGAGACATCGTCAGGGGTGGGCACCTTGGGTCGAAGGATTGCATTTGCTTACTGGCTATAAATAATACACTTTTCTTTTTGTGTGATCACCCGACTAAAATGACAATGACCCGTTTATTACTATAGAAAATTGTCTCTTTTACATTACTATTCCTTGTAGTCCCTTGATCTGGTTATTTACTAAAATGAGCGTGAACACTTACAGAATGGTGATGATTAAAATTCTGCTACCTCACTCCGAAAGGATTACATGTCCTAACATCGGCCGGCGGCAGCAGATGACCCGTTGAAGTACCGTGGAAGTCTCCTGTAGTCGGCAGGAACACGACGCTTGGCTGAGCTGGAGATCGTCCACGGTCGTCCGTGGAATTGCTGCGTCAGTTTTTTGATGCGCGAGTCTCAGGTCATCATTCGTCGCGTGGACCGCATATTATCATTGGCAGCCGAGCTGCACACCTCGTGCAATTTATGGGTGTTACTCCTACTGTCCTATCCCGGCATCCGGAATAAATCCCGATTTATTTTGGGACCCGTTTGGGAAAATTGAAGCCGTTTCTGAGAAAACAATGGTTTTACAATTTAAAATTTCCTACGTTTGACGCCAAATTACGCAAATATACTATTTTCGAAAAATCTGAACATTTGAAGATGTTTGTAATAAATACATTTCATTACGAAAAATATTTATCTTCGTAATTGCAGTTGTAGGAAGACGCCCCAAAATATTGATTTTTTGATATTTTCGAAAAATCAGGTATTCTAACACGAGATCTGCACCATTCTCTTAAGCGTCCTTCATAATATCTGAGGTGAAAACATTCTCAAAAATACAGTCTTTTTGAGAAAAAATTGTTTACTCAATGAAAAATTGCCTATACTTTATTCAAAATTACGTAAAAAGTACTCAAATTCTCGACAAATTATACAGATCATTTCAAAATTTATTTTTAAGGAACACAATTAAGGGAAAACCTATTATCTTCAATATTTTACACGTAGGAAGTGGCAAAAACTGAACTTCTGTAATTTTCAAAAAATCAGATTACAACGAAAATTAGACATCCCTGTCAAAAGGGTCATGTAAAGTAAGCCTCCCTCACAAACAAAAAAATCGGTTTCAAATTCAAGGAGCCGCTACATCAGTTAGATCGATTGTGGAATATCAATTTGGGAGAAAATTGGCTGAATGGTTTAGCCGATAGCGATGTTCACAGACGGACGTTTTGCCGTCAATCGGTTTTTCGGCATTAAGGATCCACAAAACGGATTCTGGATGTACCGCGTTGAATGAATGTGTTGAATATATGTAGCAACTGAATTTATCACTTTCTCGTTGGACCCAGGAATGAGTTTTTGTGCCGAAAATTCGCATTTTGTTCCTACATCACGTAACTCTCTTTATACTGCGAAAGCAGTAGCAAGAAAGTAAAAGTGGCTCCAGTTGAAACAGAAGCACCATTGCTGCACGAACATTTCAATGGGCAAACTACAAGTAAATTCCCTAGCTTTTATGCTTGTCAGACTTGGTATGGCTCTCTAGGGAACGGTTTGACATTTCAAATTATGTAAATTATTCTTTTATATCAGATTTTTTATTTATATCGACGGCACTATATAATACTAATAATTGGATCAGGTCTGATCCAGAAATAAATGCATTCATGAGTTCACTAATATTTGAGTTTTTTTTTTATTTCGTATGTTTTACATCACTTTTGAATAAAACCAGCACTCAAAATACTTGCATATGCATATTTGTCAGCAACAGCTCAACAGCAATCGGTTCGGATACTGAATTTACTGTAACGACCGATTTCACCATTACCTTAAACAGAAGCTTTGAGGTGAGTACAAATACTGACAGCTGGTTACATTTGTTTGACCCATGTCGTTTTGATTCACGATCGTCAAAATATTCGTAATCCATCCCCTTCCATCGCATCCACATTTAATTATAAGACACATTCATTCATATTCTGTAATGAAGGAGATTGCAAAACTTATTTTTGAACCTGTTAGACGTGTTGTGGTGTGTGTGTGGTCCAATAATGCTTGTAATTGAACTTCTGTAATCTTAATGGCTTCATGGGTTGGATAGCATTTCTGTTTAGCCTTCTGCACATCCACATAGCTGGGATATAATTTGCATTTTCTTTCTTTCATTGATAGTCTTACAATATTGTATTGGGTTTTAGACAGCTTGACTTGGACCACAACTGACATGGTTTCCTCTTTTTACTTTGAAATTCTCGTGGATACTTTAATGCCTTTGTTGGGGTGGTTAATGTAACATTTTAACCACTTTTGCAGCATCCGTTTTTCTATGAGTTCGTAAACTCATCTGCATCCCATACGATAGTTCTTCCGGTGAATATACTTCTCTCATTTCTTCAGTCCTACGTTTAGTGCGCTCATTGGAAACAGTGAAACCCACTTTTGAACGACCCGTAGAAACAGTTGACGATCGAGGACCAAAACTTTTATAAAACGATACATTTTCCTTGAGCCACTTTTCATTTTTTGTCAAGAATGTATCAAATGTACTGGTCACTGCTTGCCATTTGTTTTTAAATTTGAACACTGACTTCGGAAAAATCTTTCCTCGTTTCAGATATAGCTCTAACACCGCAGTTATTCATTTTTGACAATTCAGCCTCTATGAATAACAATTTTTCAGAAGAATTGGCTTCATTTCCCACATTTTGGAGCAATAGAAATATTTCCCTACAACTATACAATATAACATGGACCCTGGAAAGAGAAAAAAATCAATAGTTTATAATGGAAAGTTAACCATTAACAACATTAAAATACTTTTTAAAATAATTTGCTCTATATATTTTTTATTATGTGATTCAGTCTGTTGGTAATACAAAAATATTGCTTTGGGTATGAAATTAGCAATGTCCAATTTTCAAAACTTTTGATCAATTTTAAGTTATTTATTTTCAGAAATTATTCAATATATACATTTATACTTCATAAAATACCCCGAATAGGCATGTTCTTTAAAATTGCATTAAAAATAATTTCCGCGGGATGCGATCTCACGACCTTCGGATGTAGGGACATTACCGGTCGTGCCACAGAAACAGGATCAACGTAACCCAGCGATATACCCTTGGGCTTCATCTTGTACCACGACAGAATTATTTTCTGAAAAAGCAGCCAGTACAATGCATCTGTCAACTTTAGTTTTTTTTCTTCAAAAATTGACCTTGCAACTTTGCAATAAAATAATGAACCTTTAAATTTTCAAATTTATCGATCAGTATTTTAAACAACTCTTCTCTTAGTTTTACAATCGTCATAAGTTTGCTTCTATCTTATATCACCCCAGTGCGTATATGCTAAATTGTTTGCCATTGAGTCCTCTTCACATTCTTCAAACAAATCAACTAATGCCTTTTTCCCCTGGATATTTTGACTACTTCCAATCATACAATCAAAACTATCTATTTTACATACCAGAATTTCAAAAACGTTCTTGTAATTGACTTTGAGCTTGGCACCATCAATCATCAACTTGGTGATATAAACAGTCACAGACATTGAGTACCAGAACTCCCGGTGATCACACACCACATTGGTTGTAAGTCACAAAATTTTGATCTTCCTGTTTTCATGCGAGGATTGGCCTACTTAAACTCTCGAAATAATTTGTTTAAATTACAAAGAATTAACCACTTTTGCCTCTGAATCTTGATACCATTTTCCTTTAGAGAAACACAATCTTCTTTTCCATGCATCAAACGACTTTTTTCGTCTTTAAAAAACTGGTAACTTTTTTATTGTTTCATTTACCAAATTTGAAGCTTTCCTTATTTGTAAGCGAGGTAAAATACTCTCTTCTTTTACCATACTTTTCGACCCTTTAAATTCATTGCTTACTTTCGACTCCAAGAATTGATAAATATTTTCTTTTCTTTGTTAGCGACAGCACATTTATTTTTTCATTTTTCTAACAGATCATCGGTTTGTAAATTTTGAGCCTTATCTGGATATGATGTTAGAATTTGTTTTTCGAATGAACCTTCCATTTTGTTTTTTTTGTTTTTTTAATAGTTGAGGAAACTTCAATTTTTCTTTTCAAAGCTACAGATCTTTTTCTTCTTGTAATTTTATGATTTTACAAGTCCGAAATAATCCTAAAATGGCACATGCTAAGTTTTCCATTGTTTCTGAAGAGTTACTGAATTCTTTATCTGAACTTCCATCATCTCTGTGGCGAATAAACATTTTCGAATAACACGTTGGACACAATGCTCTTTCTGGTATAAGATTGACCGAAACTTTTCTATTCTTGTAATAATGAGCCAAAGTCATTTCTATCAATCTTTTTGTTATAGTATTTTTATAAATGTTGGAAGGATCTGCGCATGACTGGCCATAGAGGTGATGCTTTTTTTAAAGTACTTTATCTCATGGTACTTACAAACACATGTGATGTTCGAGTTAATCCTTAACGAAAACAACACTTTTTCTTCTTAACCAGAATCATCAATTCCCTTAATTCCTTAAGAAAAACTCCATACACAGTTTTAAGGCAAACTTCATTAGTAAACTCATCTATACAACACTGACACTCCATTTTCATCAAAGGTCACATAACCGCCCAAAGTCTCAGAAACAAAAACTGCGACACGTTTTGATGGAAAGGGTAGGCAACAACGAAACCACGCTCATACACGCTACAGAAGACTGAGTGATCTCAAATGCGTGTTAATAATCGGTTAATCGCGTTGGTACGGGGTTGGTTCTGTCGGATGCACGAACCTCCGGTATTAAACATTCTCAGAAGAGATAAGAGGAGGGGGGTTAAGTTTCGCTGCACCTTCTGACCCAATATGATTCTCTTGCATTGTTTCTTAACTCGTGATCTTTGCATGTAAGGAGTACAGACGGCGCCTTCGTGAGAACGTTCTCACGAAGGCGCCGGTACAGAGCGTCCATCCATATAGGCCCATTCACATTGTGCAAATGTAAACAAAAGCATAGCGCTTAGACATAAACATTAACATAAGCGATAGACTGAAGTATTCACAATGCCTAACATAAACGTAAGCAAAATAAGTTTCTATTGGCTGTGAGACTTTCTGGTTGGATGTGAGAATCGCTTTCAAGATATCGACTGTCTTTGTCCCATAAGGCGATAGTTCTTCTATCGACTTCACTCCAATTTCGATTCTGAGTCACCGTACTGTGATTGGTTCTTTTCTTATGTCCTACGTAAGCATAAGCACAGAAGCTTGCAAGCTTTTAAGTTGTCTAACGTGTTACGCTCATGCGAACGCTTTGTAAATGAGTCCGCTTATGGACGTAGTCCTAACTTTAATGTTAACGCCATGCATATGTTTATGTTTGCATTGTGAATGGGCCTTATCTCTGACAATACGTTCAGAAATAATAAGCAAGGTGGCGATTTTCAAACGAAAAAATAAATAAAACGCTGATTGTTAAAAAATATTTTATACTAGCCCGTTTACGCCAAGATGACCTTATTTTTAATTACGAATAATTTTGTTTCAAAGTAAAATAAATTAATATTAAAAAATATAAATTAGGCAACATATTTATTTATAATAAGTTTCAACGTCATATTTATTAATAATAAAGTGAAATTCATTATTTTCAACCAGTAAAGATTTTAGTTTAAAATAGCTTCAAAATAATATGATTACTATCAGTCACTAGCTATTCCCAACATAAATATGAAGCCTAATTTTTCTATTTTTTATAATAAAAAAAAAATACTTCGACTTAAATCTAAAAATTAACATTTTTCCTGAAGTTTGGTATCATAGTAATATAGAATCTGAGCAATTTTCAGATTTCTATCTGGTCCCCTAAAAGAGATGCAGTTCAAAATTTGGAAAAAATTGAAAATTCCAATTTTTAAGAGGATGTAATTTTCAAGTGATAAGATGCTTACCATTGACATTTTACAGAAAGTAACTATACTGTTATGCATAAAACGCACAGAAAGCATTATGGCTGTGATTGTATTTCTTCTTTCAGAAATTTTTAGCTGAAAATAGAAATTGTTTCACTCAGGTTCAATAGATTTGGTTACAAATATTTCACAAATAGAAACACATAAGGTAGGCAAATAATATTTATATTTGTAGATCAGAGTATACTGAATCCAATGTCATTTATTCCAAAATGCTAGAACAACCCAACGCTAAGTAATTTAGGGAAGAATAAATGTCTACAAACGCAAAAAGTGGTGCAGGGCAAAAAACAAAAATGACCGACATTTCCAAACCAAATTTGATTTTAAAAAATTAAAAAATTTTTTGAACAGCCAAAACAGAAAGGAATTTATGTACCAAATGTGAATTTTTTTCGAGACGGTCAAGTAACCAGAGCTGGCCTACTAAAAATGGATTGACCTGGGTACTAAAAAGTACGTTTGAATGCACTGAATATGGATGTTGGAAATGTCTATTACATCTTGCATTACATACAGATACGAAACCTTCCATTATTGATCGCAAGAGAGACATTCTTCATTGCATTATAGTTAAAAACTGTATAACTAGGAAAACTAGTAAAATAGTTAAACTGCTTTACTGTATTTACGAACTAAAACAATATTTAAAAATGTATTGCAGCACTCCATTTAATTTGATTGCCATCCTTTAATGCCCCCTCTGATGTATCTTGCTCAAACGAAAATCTGCCCTTGATCCCTAATGTCACAACCCGGCATTATGTGCAGGTGAATCATTTGACAGATTACTTCCTCCAAAAGACAAAATTCAGTGAGTGGTTTACTACAAACATAAAAGCATATAACAGTCATACCCCTTAAACTATCCTGCGTAACAGATGTTCCATCCTGGAACATCCTCATAAATAAACAGAGATGAAGCATTTAGCCCTTCAAAGTAAGGGTAACAACTCATTTTCGGAAACAAATTTCTCTTACTTTTCTCAGTTTTCCAGAGCATTTTTAAAATTTTTCACTGATAAGATGTGTAGAGAATATGACACTTTTCAAATAAAATGTTAAAGCAAGAGTGAAACTAATTCATTGATTTTGTAATTATATAGTACAAATTAAAATAAAACTAAACAAAAAGAATAAGCCAAAAATAACACTGTATTTTTTCTTTACAAATAATTTCTAGTTTCATAATCTTAACATTTTCCCTGACTGATTTTTCAACAATTTCTCTGATTTTTCCAAAGCAATGAAATTCCCTGATTTTTCCTGTTTTTCCAGATAGTGGCCATTCTGCAAAGTTGCTGTAGAATACACAATAGGAAAATATTAAATAAATCTGGTAGATTCTTTAGTGTACCTGCAAATTGATAAAATGTTTGCAGAGATAAAAGGACCTCATAATTAAAACTCAACATCACATAATTGGCATGACTGCATACTGCAAGTATATCATCCATGGAAACATGCAAAATGCCAACTGTAGAATGTGTGGCCAAAAGGAAAAAGGTTCTTATAGTTTCTTAATGCAGTTTTATCTCCAAAACAATATTTAGGCAGGCCAACATGCAACCAAAATAATTCAGCAGGCTCTCACACCAAAAATATTTTGGTGATGAGAAGGATCTGTATTATTCTTATGAATCACCACCGATTAGAGAAGACAATAAATGCAAACTTCTCTAACAACAACAAACATAACAAACAACAAAAACAATTGCTACTACTCCTGGATGTGTTTATTTTTAAAAATTCAAGATTAGGTTGAGTGGTGATTTTCAGTTGCTGTATACTACATCCATCATACATTTTTTTTTAAAATTATTTAATTACCAACTACTCACATTTACTTATATTTGTTACTTCAGAATAGTTTATGGCATAATTTTATGAGGTAAGTAATTAAAATATTGACTAAAAAAAGCAATTACCAATGTGGTGTTGCTATATGCTTCTCTTTCACACAAATACAATCACTTCTTGGTGACAGTACTCGAATTTTAGGAAAATTTATACCATTATGAATACAAGACATATTAACAAACAGATCACTAATTACAATAAAACCGATAGGGTGTAATCACCTATGAGAAATCATAACCTTACATGTGAAATTATTGACTGAAAAGATTGTTTTGCAGTAATTTCTAGTAACTCACCTCCTGCGATATCACATCTCAAACTCGATATTAAACGAGACAACAAAGGCATTGGTCAGTCACTTCACTCGCATTCCGTTTAACTGACATACCGGCGGCATAACAATAAGCCTTGATTACACCTCATATCCCAATATTGGTACCAATGGGCGTAAATCTCGGAGGGATTTAAACGAGGCATATAACAAATTTAATTAAGATGTTTCACTGGCGCTTTGGGTACTTCATCTATGTTTTAACATAAATCTTGAGTAGAGTACTAAATATTATTTATTCAATAGATCAAAATTCCAAAATCCCACCTCCAGACAATCTGATTCAACCCGGGGTCAGTGGTCGCGAACACATACCAACCACAAACGTTTCCTTCTATAATTGTATGGTACCAAAGACTGCGATGTATATAGTACGGTGTAACCAAGCGTTTGTTCGTAAATGTGGTTAGTGTGTTGCTCATACTCTTTTCTATTGTGTCAGCCAGGTGGTAGCAGAGCTTGCTGAACCTGCCTCGATGGTGGTAGACAGATACCGAGCCGACTGTCAACTTTTCGAGACAATTGGAGAGAGAAGGGCAAGTGCGGAGTGTGTTCATTAAATGCGTGTATGCTTTTTATCCGTATTCAGGATTCAACCAGTTGTGGAAATTCAAGTGTACATTCGTAACTATCGTATTTTCTAAACCGTCGTTATTTCGTTCAATCTTTCTTACGTAAGTTTGCCTTTGTGAGAGTAATCTTTTTTGTGAAGACTGCCTTCCAAGTATTGAACGTGCTTTTAAACAATTGAAATCGCTCTGTTGATACTGAAGAAATCATTATTGCTCCCATGAAATAATATTGACAGTAGTGGTGCCTGAAAATCTTATGTGTACGAATAGTAGTGTTTAAATATGTCTGAAAACAGAGAAGAGGTCCTAGCCGATTTTCAGGTTTGCTCATTCAAGTATTATAGCACTTTTGTGTGAACAGTTTGAAATTACAGTGAATTATTTGACATTTTCTTTGTAGTTGAACTTGACCAGTGTCATCAACTTAATATTTATTAAATTATTCTTAATGAACTCTATTGTTCTTTTCTAATAGGCATGCACTGGTATTGAAGATGTTGGAGAAGCAATTTTACATTTAGAAGAAACTAATTGGGATCTTTTAGTGAGTACAATTTCAGTAGGATGAGTTGTCATTTTTGATATTCTGTATATGTTCAGATATGGTTTTTCACAGTAACATGTGTCTTTAAATATCATTGTAATTAAAATCAAAAGTGTCTGTGCTTAGTTTTTTGATTTTGTTTTCTTTAGAGAGCTATCAATCGTGTAATGCCCCAAGAGACCCAGACTTTGCCATCTGAGATGGACTCGGATGTAGAAATGATAGAGGAGATTAAACAGTCACCATCCAGCCCTGTTAGAGCCAATCCTGATGTAGCAGTACTTCCTCTAGGTGGAACAAATTATGGAGGTCCCTTTCGAGTTCCTGATAGTATGAGTGCTGATGTTATTCCACTGCCATCCACTTCCCAGGGAAAGGACAGCAGGCTTTTACAATTCCATGTTCACTTCAGGGATCGAGTAGTTGATTTAGAAATCACAGATACTGGAACAGTTGGTTAGTATGTGTGAAATAAACTAGGACATGCTGGAGAACACCTCTGAGGTGGTCAAGCCAAAGTGTCTCTTAATTCAAACTTATGTTTAAATGTGTAGGTGATTTGAAAAATTTGTTGGCAATTGAAGTGGGATTATTACCATGTCAACAAAACTTAGAAGGATGGAAGAGCAATCCAAAATCAGATTCAGTGACATTAGGAAGTATGAACTTACCCAAAGAAAATATACTCTTTCTAATGCCTCCAGACTATGAAGATGTTGAATTGCCAACTGAGTATGTAATATTCATCCTGCAATATTGTACATTTATTATTCATTAGACTATAGTCTAATTAATCACTTGTAAGACTCGACATTACAATTTTATTACTGGACATGTTTCCTGTGTTGTAGATCAAGCCTATCTGAACGTCTGACTCAAACATATACATTAAATGTGTATGCTGATTCTAAGAAAAAAACATTCAATTTGAAATTTCTGGGCTCAAAACCTGTTTTAGAAGTAAAATCAGATGTATACACCTTAACTGATATTCCCGTTAGACATCAAGTGTGGACTGGTTGGCCACCCGAATTGACTTCCGATAAAACTACTTTGGCTTGCTCAGGAATAAATTATCCCGTTCATGAATTTACAGTCAAAAGAGCGCCGGGATCAGAACATACAGGCCGAGAGAAAAGAAAAGTAAGTAATTGGGTGTATTGATTTCTTAATCACTTTTATAATTATTTTACAAATATTTAAGAATTTTGAAGGTTATTGGAATACTATGATAGAATTTTTTCAATGAAAATTATAAAGTAATTACAATTCTTTGACCATTATAATATAAAATTTATATTCATTTTTATTTTACTTCAATAAAATTACCCCAAATTGAGTGGAAGATCTTAATTTTCAGTAAAACCTCAAAGAGAAGAGTTATCGACAGAATGTTTTCAGGCCATTCTTTCGGCTAATACAAAAAAAATCATTTTTTATCATAATGAAAATACAAATCAGGAATGCTGAAGTGGAAATAATAATTAAATTACTTCAGAAAATTATTGTAATTAAATGCAGCAGAAGTTTCAGGATTCTTAATAGCTTGAGCTAATAATTATTTAAGAAAAAAATTGGGGCAGCATTCAAATTGTTAAATGTTTTGCAACAATCTAAGAGTACTCAATTTGATCACTATTACTCTAAAGTTATTAAAATGCTTGTTTTGTAGGATAAATGTATCTTTAGGAGGAGTAAAACAGAATAAATCCTATGAAACATAGGAATGCAGTTTAGAATTTTCTGTCTTTATAGGTACAATTTTAAGCCACAAAAATTAAAACATTTTTGGCTAGCAACCTAGTTGTGTTATTGATTTGATTCTTCCGTAAACATTAACTTCTGCTGATTAGAAAGAATGAAATTTTGTAATGTATGTTTTTTATAATAGCTATTGTACAGGATTATTTATTATAACTATTTGAAATCTTACTTTTTGTGTTATGCAGGTTATTGTGGATTTAGTAGATAGTGACAACAGCTCTGTGGAGGAATTTGAAGATGCTTCGGAAACCTTTACTGTGGAAGATGACATATTTGTGGATGTAGAAACAAAGAAGATTCAACCTCTTAGTGAGTGCCGTAACATGCCTCCCTTTGTGGGACACCTTTCCTTCCCACCTTTCCACAAGCTTCCTGAGAGGTTCTTTGATGCCACGGTGGTTGCTGGTCTGGGTGCACTCTTCATCAGCTGACCGAGAGTAGACTAAGTACAAAGAGAGTGAACTAGTAAGTTACATGGATTTACTGAATGACTGATTTGACCACTCATAGAATTAGCATTGACGGCATGGTGAGGAATGTGCTTACGGTGCTTGCCTCAAGACTGGAAGGTGCGGGCTCAGTACTTGGAGATGTGATTTGGGCTCATCTCTGTCACTTCTAGAGATGCCCACCTAGATGTTTGTCTTACGATTTTTGAATAGGTGCTTGAAGCGCTATTCTCTTCATGGTTTCCATCATCGTTGGGCAGTAGCTCTAAAAATCTGCTAAGCCTTAGAATTACTCTGCAGTTACCTATTCAGTATATTGCTGAAAGTTACTGCTTATGCATTTATTGTATCATCTATAGAAGCTTTTATCTTTTAAAATGCATCATTAGAATTCTTTATATATGTTTTTCCAGTAAAGTTTCAACGTTGTTAAAATTGTAATATCTTGATGGCATCGAAATTTTGTTATATTTTCAACAGTTGCTTCAAACAATTTTGTTGTTGTCATCATCTTTGTTGTGTTTTATTTTCACAAAATATCCGTTACATACTCGTGTTTTTTTCTTCTTGCTTACTTTTATAGTACATTCTACAAATAGATTTCCTCTTGAAGGAGTATTGATTCATGCCTTTTTGTTGGATTATATGTATGTACTTTAAATGCACCTATATGTTATGAAAAAAAAATTACTTTTTTGTTGGTACGAAGTGATTAATATTTTATTGATCTTTGACACCAATTACATAAGCAATCAATTGTGGCAGTGAAAAGTTAAGTTGCTTAACATGCATTCAGAAGAAATATTGAAATAAAATCAATTAATTTCAATTAAAAATATTTTATTTGAGCCAAAGAAATTTTTGAATTGCAACTATACCTGGTTTGTTTCCTTGCTGGCAGAGGTCATTCAACGTCACCCTGTAATTATTCTTGAAGAAGAGTAATTTTTATTGAGGCATTATTTGGGATCAAGAATCTATTCATTGTGTGTTGTTATTATTTGTTGAACTGTTGCCTGATGCCCACCTCAAGACAATAAGGCTAATGGCATAGTACACTAAGTTAACTCTCAGCCAAATATTGATCTCAAATGAAAGCAACAATCCTGGCAGATAAATAGTGTCTGATAAAGAATTCAACTATTCATGACTAGTACCTATATCTCATATAAATTGTGTTAAAGAAATCACTGATGTTTATTTCCTAATAATGATTAGCTAGATTATTGATTGTTAATTGTTTAAGTTGAATTGATAATGTAAAAGTACATGTTTTGATGGAAAAAGATGTTATTTAACAGATGAGGAGTTGTAGATTTCAAATATATTTTTAATATCTGATTGAAGTTGTTATCTTCCATACAAAAATTTTCAGTTGTGTTAATAAGCGTAGTCTGAATAAATTAGTGATCCATCAGCAGGGTTACCATATGTCCTCTTTTGCTCTTTACTAGATATCTACCCATCCTTGTTTATTATTTTTTAGACATTTTTTTATTGGTATTCTGGCATAGTCTTTAAAAATCTGAATATTTAGATTTTTGTAAAATCTTAAGCAGTTACAAGATTATTAGTAATTGTGTGTGAACTTACATTGACTGCACTACTTGGCATTTGTTTTCTGGTTTCACTTACATCTTAGAGTCATACAAATATTGATACCAATTATTAAAGAAACCAAAGATAATTTTTGGGATGGAAAATTCAACAGAGATGACTTAACTAGTTCAACAAATTGCAAAGTTGTCGGTCTTGCATGGATTGGAGTGTTGTTAACTTATGTTATTTAGTTGTTGCAAGTGTCCTGCGGTAGCAGAAATGTTACTGAACAAAAGCACACAAAATAATTTGCACACGCACGAACAATAAATAAAATAATCTTCAGTAACATTATATTAACGTAAATAGTTAAACAAAAACTTTTCACAAATACTGCAGTAAAGTAATATTACACACCAAGAATATAAAAAATGTTGGTGTTATATAATGCATCTCACGAATAGCAAATACTTAATGGCGGGGTGGCCTCTTGCTTGAAACATTGCTGTCACTTGATATAAGTAGTGCCACTGCTGAGAATGAGAATTCAGTTTGTATGTGCAGTTTGAGAACAAGGAGAATAATGCGATTAAATATTTGCATTTTTGAAACATTTTCATTGTTCCTGAGTTTCTGGGTATCTAATGAAACCATAGACATCTCTCGCATGGCAGAAGGCTGCATAGTTTACTTTCAATTTTTGCATGTGTTGAGAATAGTAATACAGATAGTGTTTATTATTTCAGCACGTCATGTAACAGTTATTAATATTTTCGTGGTATTTGGCTTCAGGAGTCTATAAATTAAACTATAGTGATCTGAACATGCTCTTCTAAGCCAATCTTGAGTTTGAGTATCCAGAAAAAGTGCGCAAAAAGCTTTTGTATTGTAGAGATCATCAAGGTAACAGCTTTGTAAATTTCCAAGTCCAAACAATTGTGGGTTCAAATTCCGCCTGGGGCAAGAATGTTTGCTTGTGTGTTGCAACATGCCTCATCTCCTTTGTGCTCCCAGCAAACATTGCAACATGTCTTGCTCTTCCAGCCTTATCACCTTTTCCCCTCTGCCTTGTGCTCCCAGTGTACATTCCCTGCCCCGTCATTGGCTATGAGTAGCCAATGTGCGCCTACAAGGTACCTTAACACTGAAAAAAAAAAAAACTGAAAAAACTAGCCGAAATATGCGTTGAAGCTACCTGTGGTAACTGAGGGAGGGGGGCTGATACAGGAAATATGAGGAGGGGTGACAGTATAGTACGTTCTGCAGAGGAGAGGGGAAAAGCTAGAATATGTTTGTACTAAAAGATCAAGAAGGTGTGTAATCAACAAATGCCAAATTATGAAAGTACAAGTTATTTGTCATGTTCATAGTTAAGTCTTGTATTGGCATTGGCATCAGTGTGACATGGTCCTCGTGCCTTCCTAGCCCTCCCATACCCTCCTAGCCAACCTTATTATGTACATTTTTCTCTTCAATTTATTTAAAATATCACATCACTTCTAAAAGAGTATACATTTCTTTTTAGTTCAAGCTAATGATTAACCACAATTTCTTTTATTTATTTATTTATTTTCCTGAACTTTTAAAAATATGGTAACCCTGAGCAACAGAAAAGACCATTTGGTTTTTATTGTCATAATGAATGTAAGTTTAAAAAAGAAAAATTATCTAATATTGCTTATGATTCGCAAAATTGGATCATCACAGTTGATTTGTCATTAAATGTGAACTTTATTCCACAACGGTTTTCGTCTTGAGAGCGAACTTGAGAGTACAGTATTTGTAATTTTTTTTCCTTTGGTCTACAAATCTGTCCTAACCATGTTTGTGGTCAGTGCACAGACCCTGAGTGGAAAGCTTATTATATTGATGGATTTTTCTACTGACTTCAAACGAATTGAATTTTTAAGAAGCGTATAAAAATACTTGAGAAGATTAAAAAAGAGATAGCATGTAGAGTTTGCAGTAGTCTGGAAATTATGATAAAAGAATGAATACATGAAGAAAAGACTTGGGATGAAACAATTTGTAATTGATTTGAGGAACAGAATATTGTTTAATTTACCACTTACTATGTAAGATTTCAAGCCTGCTTGCATTTTTAAAAAGCAATGTAACCAATATTCATGCCAGGAGCTTTGGAATGATAGATGCTGGGTGGACAGTAGAGTATTAGAATGTTTTAATCAAACAGAAAGTAATGAATTTTTTTTGCATTTGAAACTATTAATATTAAAGAAGAAATGTGAAGTCAAGAAATTTGAGGATTGAGGAACTTGCTGTTCATGATTTCTGTCCCTGTAGGGTATGTGTGGTGCTATTGTGCACATTTTTGTTCCAAAGCCTGTGATATATATCAGATATTTTTATTTGTTTGTTCTTTAATGTAAAATTTCCAAAAAGAAGATGAAAAATTGTAATTTTTCATTTTCTAACATGATATATTCCTATTTGTTGCTGATAGTAAATCATACACATTGATCCAACCACAGTGGCTTTATCCTGTCCATTTAACATGCAATGAGTCATCCTAAAGATTTCTTCTTATTCTTCTGCATGCACTAAGTTTTCATGTTAATTCTATTTTCATGATTTAAATCTTCTCATTTACTTATTTCTTGAGAAGATATAAAAAAATAATTACTTTTTGTGAGATTGGGAAAAGAAATACGACCATTAGAAAATTCAACATTACAATATCATTACTTCAATATTTAAAAAAAAGAAATAATTATTTTTGTTCAAAAAATAGAATTTCAGAATGGCTTACCAGGATAGGTTTTTGGGTTCATTCCTATGTACACGGGGGGCCTTAGAAGGTTTGTTTAACTATTTAAGATGCAAATCTGTGTGAAAATTATTAAAACTGGCAACCCTTCACACTTCTTATTGAAATTAATTTCCCCCCCCCCCCCCTAAGACAGTTAAATTGAACTGCAGGGAATTTGAGATGTCAACCATACTGCCCTGAAAAGACAAACTAGTCTTTATTGTTACTACTATTGTGATTATTTTAATATTGTTTATTTACGTTGGTAGCATATCTTTTTTTCACATTAAGGAAACTTATGTTTCAAATTCTTGAACTTTATGATTCTTAAAGTTCTGGCCCATTCAGTATACTGAGTGTTTTCACTCAAATTCTTTAATAGGTCTCATGAACATCTTTTAGAAAAAAATGCAGCAAATATGAAATTATTTGTATCAACCTACTCATATTTAGTGAAATGTTTTTGTTAATGACCTTTAGAATTTGAATGTCAAATGAAAAATTACATATCTACAGAATTTGACATTAAGGTTGCTCCCTTTTCTCTGTTGCTCAGTATTCTTAAAGAGATTGTATGTTTATAAATAGTTACGAGTCTGAATAGTCTTCTATTTCATGATAATGTGCATTAGTTCCAGATAATGTGGAAGATGAGACTGCTGGGTGCATACACTTTGCTGATCAATTTACTCATCGGTACGGGGAATGTCACCCAGAATTCTTCCCTGGTTCTTTGGATGATGCTGTCAAAGAAGCTTGTATGAAACCTGCCAGAGATGTAAGTAATATCAAAATGTGTAAATTGGGTGTGTAATATTACAAATTAAAAAGATCTTGGTTGCTCTTTTTTTCCAAACACAATAATTTGATCAACTTATTCAGACTGACAACTGACAGTATGTTACAGTTGTAATTCTGTGAGGAAATTTCATTGTTGTGAAAGTGCTGGACAAAACAGACAACTATTTTGTATAGTGTAGATAAAGTATTGTAATCTGGAGGAAATCAGTGTCAAGATTTTGTTGGAAACGGTTTGGGAATCCTGGTCTCAAAAACTTTTTAAAAACATTATTCTGTTTGCCCACCGTTTGGTTCCTTGGGGGAAAGGGGGGAGACAGTCACAAGGTGTTAGGCTCTTAGTGGAGGACGTAATGCCCTCTGCAATACTCATGTCATTAGCTTCAAAGTGGAGGCAATGAGAAGGTAACCTTTGGGCAGGATTGGGTGTGGGAATCACTAGTCTACAGCTGGTGGCACATCTCAAACCCACATATATAAATCTGATGTGGAGTTTGAATCCCTGTCAGGTTGCATAGGTTACTGTGGTACTCATGTCTATAGTTGGAAGGTGGAGGCAGTGAGGCCCCAGGGTGGGGGTCCTGAGACATCTGGTCTAGTCCAGGCAGCCCCCGGATGGGCACTTGGCTTAATTGTGGTAGTGGCCCGATACTCTTGACAAAGAGAAGGGGCATGCCCCTATGCATTGTAAGCGGCACTTAATTTGACTCCAGTGCTAGCCTGTAAAGCTTTCTTCTGGTTTCTCTGAGCTGGCAGAGTGGCCCAACCCAGGCTTAATTGAGGAGGTTCCCAGGAAGGATAACTGCATTCCGGAAGGATTCGGATACCAGCCTGAAGTTGTTCTTACATGGGATGGGCATGCAGATAACGGCCACAGAGCTCTAGGTGCCCACCCCAAGGAGGGAGGTCCGAGATAAGTGCCCCGCGTTCTGTCAGGATCCGGATTGCAGCTCAAGAGTGTACTTGTGTGCCTGCAAGGGCTGCAGATTGAGGGCTAACGTGTGAGTGCCCACCTCAGGAAGAAATCCCCCCAGTAGAATAAGAAAGTGTGGTTTCACACCATGGTTTTCATACAATGTCCACTTGTGGATCTACAAAACGAAAAATTATAGGAGGAATATTTACATAAGGTCTCTAGGATAAATTCATAATTTTCCCAAAACTAGCTCCCAAAATGAAAAAAAATATGGCTTCAATAGAACAAAGTATGCTTTAAAAATGACTCCAAATCCCCACCACATTAAACTATACAACTTTTGTATGAAACATTTTTTATTTTACTTTTACAGAGTGAATATCAGGTTTTGCACAGATAATTATTTATTGCAATCATCTATTAAACAGCCTTACTCTCATCCATCGCTTGGTAATTGGTTTGAAAAAAAGAAAAGTATCATACAAAAGTTGTAGAAAATTTTACCCTCTTCAAAATTGAAGGGAATCATTCTACAGAACTTTCGGTTAAAGAGTTATAGTGAAAAAAACGACAAATGTCCACATTTCGCACAGGGTCTAATTAGTACCTGGGTACATAGAACTTATTCAAAGAAAAAGCTTTTAGGACATTTAATGCATATCAGAAAGAATTATATAAAGAGCCACTAATGCAAGGTAACCAACTTCATGTTTTCTTATAAACAATTTTTCATTTATTCTCAATTTAAAATTTATTTTTATTTGTATATCTATATATATTTAAAACATATTCAATAGAAGTACTGAATGACTTCCATTGATATAGAAAGTTATTCAAACTGTTTGTCATCAGCATTATCACTTTCTGTGTGTTGTTTATTTGTTTCACAGAGACGACTTTTGGCAATCTATCTACATCATGATGCTAGTGTATTAACCAATGTCTTCTGCACGCAGTTACTTGGTTATGAATCTGTGTTGCAATATCTCAACACTCATTTTGTGGTGTGGGGTTGGGATCTCACTCATGAATCCAACAAACAAAAGTAAGTCATTGTTAAGCAGATAAATACTTCATAAAAAAATTTTTGGTTCTCTCTACATGTACAGAAAATCTAATTTTTCTTTTGCAATTCTAGGTTTTTATCTTCAGTTACAAAAACTCTAGGAAATGTAGCAGCTATGACAATTCGAAATATAGATGTTGAAAGATTACCAGCATTAATAATAATCATGAGAATGCGTTCCACTACAGAGATTTACACTGTTGTTCACGGTATGTGGATGTGTAAGCCTATACCTGTTTACAATTGAAAAAAATATGTGCATAAAACTGACACATTGTTTTCAAAAATTGAGCAGTAGAATGAAAGGAATTCAGAACAATTTTGACTAAATTGCAGGAAATCTGGGTGTGAATGAGCTTCTGACGAGTCTCATCCAAGCCGTGGACGTCTTCACAGAACAACAAAGGTTGGAGACTCGTGAAGAGGAGGAACGGGCTGCACGAGAGCTGGTTAAACGTGAGCAAGATGCAGCCTATCAACAGTCATTAGAGGCTGACAGGTAAGCTGAGATGAGTTGAAAGCTTTTCAATAAAGGAAAAGTAAAATATCTAAGGACCAAATCCAACAATCTTCTGTTTTTCAGAGCTAAAGAGGAGGCAAAACGTAGGCAAGAGATGTTAGAGCAACAGGAGACACAAGAACGTGAAATCCGACGACAAGAGGAAGAACAGCTGAGAGAGGTAAGAACAGTTACTAAATATTGAAAAATTAGAACACTTTTTGTTTTGTTAATTAGTGGGTGGAGGTAGGGTCAATAGAAATATGTGAAAAGACATAGAAATACAAATTTTGAATTAAGATTTTTTTTAGAAAACTCTTTAAATTCTTCTTGGGTGATAATGAAAGTTATTAATGTCTTTCAGGCTCATCGATTGGAAGTTCAGTCAAAATTGCCTCAAGAACCTTCAGAAGATGGGGGTGATGATATAACTAAAATTAGATTTCGTTTGCCGAAAGGGGAGACAATTGTTCGTCGTTTCAGTGCTGTTACCCCCTTGAAGGTGAGATATATGTATATTATATCATACACTGTATAATATTGCAGGTTGTTTACGTTCTTTTGACAGAAACCAGCGTTTATTGTTTTTGCTTATTCCAGGTGTTATTAGATTTCCTCCTAGTACAAGGGTATCCCAGCACTGAATACAAAGTGATTTCCAGTTGGCCCCGAAGAGATGTAAGTTCATTGATAGAATTATACACTGAGATGCCAAAAAAAAGGATAGTTATCTAATATTACCTCCTTGAGCATAATGATGGGCAGCAATTTGACATATACATGTACTGCACAAGTTGGTCCTTGAAAGAAATTGGTACCCATGTGGTCTCAAAAGCCTCTGATGATTGTGTGGGTGTTGCAGGTGCACCAGATGGTACATGAATAGCTCAAACATATCACAAATGTACTTCATATGATTTGTTTCTGTTGATGGGAGTGGCCAAATATGTTTTGCAATCATCTTAGTAAGCTCCCTAAAACAAACACGTACTTTGATGTTTACATACATTTTGTGCAGTAATATTATATTGTGAACAACAGTAAATTGTAGCTTAATGACCTAAAGCAATGATTACAAGGTCACCGCATTCACAAATGTTCTTCCCACCACTTTTTCCTGCTGTGCAATATCTTTTCAAAACTAGTGTCCTTCAATTATGGCGTTGCCAACTAAAATGAAAAACTGTCTTGAAGTCTTTCATATTATTTTTAACGTTTAAGGGAACAATCATCTTATAATCCACGAACAAAATTGTTTGCGGAGAACCTCTCATGATTAGAAAGCATGGTGATTTTTCATCATGGACGTTGTCCTTTTCAAATTGTATAAACAATCTGTCTGAGTGGCTACCTATTACTGTCCAAACATGCTTACATATTTAGATGAAAGTAAAGCATGGCATTAACAAGAGAAATTATATTGAAAGAAAAGAATGGACTGTGAACAAAATTACAAGGTTAAGGCCAGACTATTGGCTCAAAAGAATTAGAAGAAACCAAGGATTTCAAAAATTACTTGCATATATGCCCAGACATGCTTTCTGAACTCTGACAATAAGTAGCACCAATACTACCTATGTTACAGTTCAATGAGAGACTGCGTTAACCTGAAGAAAAGTTAATTCTTGGTTAGAGGAATTATTCCACCACAGATTAATTGCAATTCTGCAACTCCTTGTGAGTGTGAAGGAGTATGTGTGCTGAAATTCAAGAAAAGTAGGTTAGGAAATCATGATGCAATATTCTCTCTCTCTGTCACCTCCTGCAGAACAGAATACGATTTGTTTTCAGGATATGAATGAATTTAGTTCTGCCTGAACACTTTCCCTTTCTCTTGTCTTTTCCTGAAGGGAATTTAACTTTCACATACTGAAAGCAATTGTCATCCCAAAAAGTTTCATCATTCTTGAGGTCCACGAAATCCTTAAAAGTCTGACGATGGACACCAAGAAGCCGTCTATAACTATTACCAATCAGTGTCTGGTTTAGTTTGATCAGAGGACTCAAACCATGCCTTCTTGTCATCACTAAATGATGTTATGAGTTCTACGGCATATGCAAACCCTATCATCAGCTCATACCAACTGAATGTGTGACTCATTGGACGATGCTAAAATTTGCAATATCTTGAATGAATTCAATCCGAGTTCTCACAAGACCAAGTGAGGTTATTGCACAGTGTTGTCAATGATGCTCTTGTCACTCTTCTACTGCTATTCCTCTCAATATCGAATTGTGCTATACTGGCTTTTAAGACATGTTTCTGGTATGCTTTGATTGTTATTGTAATGTCACACAATGTTACTTGTCTCTTTGTACCCATCATTTTGCTCATACATTTATTGTAATGGTCTCTGTGACAATTACACTTCTGCTAATGCCACCCAGGCCCACTGCCAACCACTGTCAACTCTTAACACTATGAAGTGAAGAATGTTTAGTGACAGAACATAATCAGAAATCAAATCTCATATATACCAACTATTACACACTCACTCCGATAATTCTCTTCATATAGCAAACACAACATTACACCTACTTGACTCACGGATGTTTAAGTGACAGGAATGATAATGTTTTACATTTTTTAAAGAATTTTCTGTTAATGTGTAGATGCTTCAAATTGCAATAGGAAGTAGTTCCATCCTGCTATCTCATGACTCTTGGCACCTCAGTGTGTAGTTGACACAATTCCTTTTATTGTATTTAAAAATTTTGAAATGAATTTAATAATGGATGTGTTTTAAAAATTGTTTTCAGTTGACTCTCCTGGATCCAAGCTCTACTCTATTAGACTTGAAATTGTGTCCTCAAGAAACTGTTATTTTAGAAGAACGATAACTTTAGGTCATTCTGTTAAGTTTTTATTAACTTTATGCTTGGAGTAATGATATAATACTTTCATACCCGATTTCACCACAACTGATTTTGTCCTTTTTTATATGCCGAAGTATATTGTTTCAAGAATGAACATTATATGTACATATTACAATGTGAATAAAACTTTTCACTTCTAGTATTATTTATTTTCAAGAAACATGAATAATGTAATTTGTGAAATTTGCCTCACCTCTGATGTGAAAGCTGTCTTCTTTAAGTTGGAGCTTTTGTTGGACCCATTGGACCAGGCAGTGAAACAACTGCAACTCTCTACTAAAGCTGTCATGTAATAAAGACAATGTGATCACACCAGATTTTGTGTATTAAAATACATGTACATTAACCACATGCAACCTTTCCTAAGAATAACATGCTTTATTGCATTTTCAGGCACTGAGAAGAAGCAAAACTTAATTTAAGAACCTTTAATTTAGTCCTGTCTTGTAACCTTCCTATGTCCTTTTTAAGTATTATCTCAGAAGGTAGAAGTGAATAGCTACTAATGTGGATAGCATGTTAGTTTAGTATTTCGTTACACTGATAGCCTTTTGTTTTTTTTAATTTTGCAACATTTGCTGAAATAATATATTTTATTCAGTTTTACATCAAAAACAAATCAATTTTTTAAATAATAGAAATTAATTAAAAAGTTATGATGTATAAATGTTTACAACTATTGAAAATATATTTTCATCAATGATAATATATACTGATTGAATCTTAGATTATGAACAAAATATTTCAAACTTATCTGTAGTGTATTCTAGAATATCATTAAATTGATCCAGTGGATTATCTTGCCCATGTGCCCGCCACAACAATGGGTACTAGTCAGAAATTTTCTTGGCAATGTTTCTTCCCTTCCTTCATGTAAGAATTGTCCTCCAATCGTATTGTTAGATGCAGTCAGCATCTCCAATTTATTATCATTAATTTTAATATATAAAACAAAATTAATACAAATTGTTTTCATTGCTAAATAATTTATTTTCCTTTTTGTAAATGCTATGGGGTTCAAGACTGTTTAAGTGGAGAGAGGGAGTACCGGTATTCAAAATGTCCCAAATTTGCATCACGTAATTTATTGATGACCCTTAAATTGAAATATTAAGTCAAGACTCGTGCATCTTCAAAAGCTTTAATCTTACATTTATGACTTGGATTTGTGTGTCCCAATTTTCAGAATGCTTCAAAAGATTTTACTTAAAACGAAATTATTTAAGTGGCATTGAATATTTCAATTTAAATAAGAAAGCATTGTATTGCAATTGCAAAATAATATGTATTATTAAAGGAAGGGAGACATTTACTATTATAAAAAAAAATATATAGTGTAAAATATACCCAGACTCTCACCGCGGAACATGCTAACTTGTATTGGGACTGCGACACTTCCAATTGTTTTTCGTCAGTCTGGCATCTCGAAATAATGTTCACAAGGAAGCACATCCCTTACCACAACGAGCGAATTGGGGCCCTTTCACGAGAATATGGCGAACGACATAGTCCCGCTGGCGGAATGGTATCGTATTTATAACTTCAGATGCGATGACGCTTCGCTATATGTGTACAATTCTATAACGAATTTCCTGTCTTCTTTGGTCCGATTCTTAGAAACTGTCAAACGCTCCTTTTTTGCCAAACACATTTAGCTTATCGCTTTGCGACATGTGTAGTTCATGACAAGGCTCCGGCTTACGGGATTAATATAAAACATTTAGCCTACCCAACGTGTAATTTCCAACGCATCATGGGCCAAGATGCTTATTTTCATTACTTAAAATGCGTCAGTCTATTCGTTATAACAGTTATAATTCTAAATTATTTACGTTGCTAGCATGCAAAAATAAGTAAGAAACTTCAAAACGTGTGAAAAGACATATTTCTTACACGTGTTCAAAACTTTTAGTAGATCTTATCCCTAAAACCTAGTACACACCTAACAACAAAGTCAGAGGCGGATTTTCGCGTAGGCACGTCCCTACAGCGACAAAAAATGCAGACAAAAACTGTCAAAAAAACCTCTTTTTGTCGCATGCGCTTTTTCTTTTTTTACTTTCTCCACTTACGAAAGAACTTCGTAAGAAGAGAAAGTTTTGTCTTCTTGCGCTGAAAAACGGCGAATTTTCGCCAGAAAAACTCATATTGACGGGCTCTAGTTTTATTTGCATTTTATGAGTTTTTTAAGAAAATGATTCAATACTCGAAAATTATTTTATTCTGTCTCTGGCGCCGCCTGTCCTGTCCTCCGCATCGCCCTGCGATACACGGCAACGCCTAGCAACAATTAAGCACAGATGGAGCTCAGTTTGATTGGAAATTGAATTAAAATTACGCGCAATCTTGTTCTGCAGCATCATTTCATGGAGAAACAACAAAATTTATCGCACAGCCAGAAAGACACAGAGAGACAGGAACAGAGAGAATGCTGAGACCTAAGGATGACAGATAGGAGGAAGGGAGATGGAGAGCAGAACAATGTCTGCCGAGTTCTGCTAGTATTTCTATACACGTGCGTAGTTTTCATGTTCTGAGCGAAAAAGCGCGTTTTCAAAAAGTAAAAGTGCACCATCGCAACACACTACTAAACGAAAGGAAGATCTACCGGTTTACCTTTGCTGACAACGTGGGTGTCACTGGGAATCTGGGCAACCGGTCTGGAAATTCCAGTTCCCCGCCACAGTTCTCTATGTGGGCCCACTGAATAAGGACGCGGCCCCAAACAATGGCCGTCTCTAAGAAATAGTAATAATAATAATAATAATAATAATAATAATAATAATAATAATAATAATAATAACAACAATAACAATAACAATAATATTTATTGAATCACATATGCAATTACAATCGTGTATGACGAGTCAATATGACGTCTTGAGCGGAGAGAGCGAATTTACATTACTGTTCAGGAGCAAACAAGGGGCCATCTCAGCATTTGCTCAAGGGACCAGGAAAACTGAAAAATACCTGATCGAGATGATTTTCTGTCTCTAAAGAGACGGCCATGATCCAAACGCGCCCGAGGGGACAGACTCGAGAATTATTTCTGATAATCGTAAATGCTGAAGGACGAAATCTCGTCATGAAATTGGACACGTGTAGCGAAGCGTCTTAAAAGTTAAAGGTTATAAATTTGACGTCATTCCACTCGCGGGTCCGTTTAGAAAACAGCGAGGTCTGTTCGACACTTCGATGGTTTTACCATCTGGGCGTTTACCTACGAGGTGCATTGCCTCGTTTTCAATGCCTGTACCTAGAAATTCATTATTCTCACATCATCTGCCTTACTGTTTCATTTCTATGATTCATAATGAGAGCAGCATCTTGGATTCAATTGGAACAAAAAGATTGAATTGGTATGGACATCCCCAGCGTATGTGAGAAGCAAATGGTGGCTTAAGATCTGGGCTTTGATACCTCCAGAGTGGAAGAAGCGTGGAAGACCGCCAAGAAGTTGGAGACAGGCCATTCAAGAAGAAATGGAGGCGCGCGTGGGTGTGGGTGTGTGTACCACACCACCTACTAGATCTACTACTACAAATCTCACTAGGTTGATAACATACGTGACGTACTTCGTATTTAAGATGTTTCAGCCCAAAAGCTTCTAGCCTGACTGTTTACGCATGATTAGAATAGACCTCGGATTTTAGGGCAAATGTCTATTTTGTTCCTTTAGGAGGGTGAAGAAAATAATGTCAGATGTTTACGAAACGTGAAAAAATAGATCTACTGAAAGCATCTAATAGTACCTGAAATGTCTTAAAAGTGCGGTCGATGCCTATTTAAATATTTTCTCCATATAACTGCCTGAAACAAATAATTCTGAAGAATTATATTTTAATTACTCATTTCTCCTTTCTCGCCCTTACTTCGTAAGAAGAGAAAGTATTGTAACTGTGCGACGGAAAACAACGATATTTTTAAAACTTGTTCTACCAAAACGCAAATACTTTCCTGAATTTCTCGAAACGTGAATATATCCTGATCGATACTGACTGATACGCTCCGAAATCCCGAAATCTCTCACCCAACACACCGAACATAAGGAGCTCTGTAAGTCAATGTAAAGAGGACGTTTTCTTTCAGAACGCACTTCTTAGGCAATTGCATCCATTCGCAATGTAGCTGCGCTGTTGATAGGTTGAGAATAAAAAGTGGGAAAGTGCGAATGAAATGAAAAGAAATTAATGTGAATAAAATAATACGTCACCCTCAAAACTATAAAAGTACTTGACATTCTTGAGAAATAGAAAGTGCCTAATTTAATCCTTTTTGAACAGATTTGGATGTCAGAAACATAACTTTTCTTTCCTAATGTTATTTAAATGCCTGGTTTAATTATTTTGTAACTTGAGAAAGAAGAGAGAGAGAGAGAGAGAGAGAGAGAGAGAGAGAGAGAGAGAGAGAGAGAGAGAGAGGAAAAGAGCAGCGATGTTTTTGCATTGCAAAATTGAACCCTGCTGAAGGTACATAAAATAAATGTGATAACAATTTTATGGCAATTTAATGATAAACACGACATTTTGAAAAATTATGTTTTATATTTTTCCCTTTATGTACATTTTTGGAGGGGAGACCCTGCTCGTGTCCATTACCCGGTCGGACGTAGGCCACTAATCACCTTCCATGGATGTAGAAAGGTTTTATATGTCACGCAAGGAAGGAGGAAGAGGCCTTAGACAAATTGAAGCCTCCTGGTACAATGCAACAGTCGGAATGGGAAAGTATGTAGTCAGTCATCAAGATGACCCACTAATGAGGCAAGTCATTAAATCTGACCGAAGAGGCGTTGTAAACGTAGCAAGAAGCATTGTGACAATGCAAGACACGCAGAATAACACAGACGCTCATGCTACTTAACATGAAATGTCAGGCACAAACAATGTTAAAGAAATCATAGCTGGTAAACCACTCCATGGGCAATATCTAAAAAGAATGGACAAGGTGCAGATTAATAAAGATCAACCATGAACGTGGCTTAAAAGGGGAAAAATGAATCCAAAATCTGAAGCAGTTTTATTAGCTGCCCAAGATCAAGCGTTAAGAACACCACATTATGATAAGTCGGGTCTGAATATTTCCCAAGATGATAAATATCGCATTCGCCAGAAACTAGTAGAAATCATTGACCATCATGTTCAATTCTAGCAAAGACCGAATACTTGAAAAGATACAATAGTAAGCCCCTCCACTGGCAGATCTGTAACACCCTCGAAGTTCCGAACATCTGCTCCAAGAAGAACGAACCAGAGAGTATATACGAACACTCGTCAAAACTGGTGGCATCTGCTGGTCTGTGTACAATGTTGTACAACCAACAAATTCAAACTGATCACACGATAGCGGCAAAAAAAACAACAAAAAAACAAAAAACAGATATTGTTATCTGGGATTTGGAGAACAAACGAGACTACTTGTAACTAGAAGCTGCTGTGCCGTGTGATCAAAACGTCGTTTCCAAGGAAGTACAAGGTATTGCTTTGTTGTAAAAGCCCACATTTTGCGTGAAGTGCTGTAGAAGCACCAACAGATCTGCCCGTTACGAAACTGGTTGCAAGCCGGAATCTTTGAACACTTACCTCGAATGTTACATCATTATTGCATTTCATTGCGTTAAATAGTTCAAATTATACTCAATAATAGTTGGTGAGAGACCCGCGACCAATTATCATATTTTTTTGGTCAAAAACTGATCCACAGAAATTAAACTACAATAAATTGTAGGCATAGAGGAATAATATATTCTGTATTCCTTCATGCTGTAGGTATTACGAAAGTTCAGAGCAAAGAAGCCCTTTGAATTCGCGGTAACCTGCACCTCAGTACGAATTCATTTGTTCTGAAAGTCAATTGAAATAGATGTGTCGTGCCAACTCCCCCGCATTATTTTGGTTATAAAATCGTATTGGAAAGAACGGTATTGAAGAACATCCAAGGAATGATTTCCGATATTAGATAATAAAAATGAACAATTTGTACAGAAAATATATTCAATTTCTTTGCCTTGGTGTTCAGAATACCAACCGCATATTACAGGTGTTTGGACTGTAGAGGTATGTGGAGTCATGCTCGAGTGAAATCGTGTTTCTATTTTATCGCTAGTTTGTAGCGTTATGGAGAAGAGTGAGGTTGCTGTATGATTTGCATCTTTATGGAAATGTGACGAAGTGAGATCATAGTAGACGCTCTATTTCATAATGGTCTGACCTGCGAATTAATAATGATGCATAAAGTGTTTCATCATACGTGTCTTACGTTCGCGGAAATTCGTTGTCTTGATAGAGCAGTAAGACGACTGCGGTTTCCACAGTACAGCCCGGCCTTGTTTGTAGATGAACGCCCATTTTCGAAAATATGCTGTTCCTCAGGTAATATAATGTTTTAAAGGATGTATTGGAATATAATTGCTGATGTGTGAGGTTATGGTTCTATTTTGCAGATTATCGCATGTATGCCAATATCAAGCTCAAACCTCTTGTCAGTGCCAACTGTGTTTCGACCAATTACTTCCCTCAAATAATATCTAAATTGGACTACTCGTCGGAGAAACATGACAAGTCACAATGGCAGGGCTCAGAGGAGGCGAAACCAAAGCAAACTTCACATGAAGAGAAATCCAAGAGACAAGATAGTGCCAGTGCTGTTGAACCATTAGAGGATGAAAAGAAACTATCCATATTCCAACGTTTTAAAAAAATGTATAGAGACTATTGGTACGTTCTTGTGCCAGTACACGTCGTAACATCAATGGGATGGTTTGGAGGATTCTATTATTTGGCAAAAAGGTAATTGTGTTATGTCACGTGATTAATGTTACTTATAAACATTATACTTTTTATAATACCAGAGGCGCACTCAGAATTTTTCTTGGGAGGAGAGGGACTACAGGTTTAGTGTTTAGCCAAATTGTCATTTTCTTAAATGGAATTTTTCATTTATTTTGAATATAAAATGTACTTTTATTTGTTGATTTAGAGTTAATATTAGTAATGTTTAAAATTGTACATTGAATGACTTTCGTTGGTGTAGAAAATCAGCAAAAGCTGTGACTTTTGAGTATGTGTCCGTTGCTTCTGGGGTGATGCTGAAGTCCTCCCTCTCTCCTTGTATACCACTGTACAATGTATTTTGTGGGCCAGATTCATCCTTCATTTTTCAGAAATGTTCTTTAACTTTCTTCACTGTCAAACACTTTGTAAGTATGGGTTTAAAGAAATGGTTACTGAAAATAATTACTCTGTAATATTTTTATCTATGTATTGTGTTTTTTTGTTTAATTTAATTCTTCAGTGTCATTTCATATTTTAAAGAAATACTTATATAAATGTGAAGGCTAAGTAGGAAAAGACAATCTCATTGCCTCCCAAATTCAATTATTGGATTAAATGAAACTTCAGTTCTATGTGTAATGTTATTTAAGTCCAAAATATACTGCTGCTGCACTTTTTTTTGCCAACTCGACAGAAAATGGAGCTACAACCGCTCATACTTTCTTGTAATATTGTAACTTCTGTCCTACTAATTCTTCAGCCAACTCTTGAAAAATTCCTAACCAAAGGAAGAGAAAATAAAATACACATCTTCAATTTTTGGGTGAAAAATAAAATTCAATACTTTAAATAAAAATAATTTCCTGTCATTGAATGTGTGTAAGAATAGAGGAAAAGACACCAAAGTGTAAAGGAAGTGTTTTAAAAAACCTTTCCAGATGGGGATTCAGACACAAATTACAAGCCAAGAGGTTTATCATAATGTTTATAACTGATAGATAGAAACAGTTAATTTCTGATGCAGTAATAAATCCTTTGGCATAGTGATTCTAACTCATTATTAAACTTCATACTATGCAAAAGCAGAAAAAAGTACATCAAATAATTCAGAGATCTAATATCAAGGAATAGATTGCATTAAGAAAAAAATTGAAAATTAAGATCAGTCTTATGCCTTATTATTCACTGTCAAATGTGAATAATGTGTGGTGTTCTATCGGAGAGAAAAAAGTGTAAAGGAAAAAAACTTGTTGTCAGTTTTGAGAAAATATTTAGTCTTCAAGGAGGCTTGATGCAACGTAAAATATCTATTTCAAATTAAAGAGGCCATTCCATCCAAATCATCAGGGAAATATCAGGGAATCATCAATCAATCAGGGAATATCCATTTTGATTAATTCTGTGTAGGTGCTAGTGTTTTCCACACACAGAAGTTTTGAGAAAAAATGCCATTTTGATATAAGGTAACCCCAAAATGTACATTTCGACTGACATAAAAAGTAAAGTAGTATTGTGTGTTACAGAAAGAAAAACAATTTCTGCATTAGGGTCAGTATCAATAACACAAAACCTATTTTTCTGTCAAAATATTGGCACTTTTTCGTGCAGCATTAAAGAATTTTCTCTACGTGGAGTATATGGAAAATTAAAAATGTACTGTAAACCAAAAGGTTTCAATGAAAATTTGGAGAAAATGCCCAAACATGTCGTTTAAAGTATTCTAGAGAAATGTTTCATTTCTACACTTTCTGGGTTCTTTTGTTAAAGTTTTAGTTAAACCCTAAATATTTCAAAACTTGTTAAATGAGCGACTGCCTTTTTGTCTTCCATGCTCTTCAGTACATGTAAATGAACACATGTATGTGTAATAATGAAAGGCTACTTTTGTTTACAGTGGAGTGGATATTTTAACAATTGTCGAAGCATTGGGAGTGAGCAATCGTATTCCCGATGTTCTAAAAGACTCTAGTGCTGGGTATCTAGCAGTCGCTTATGCTCTTTATAAAATAGCAACTCCGGTTCGCTACATGGTGACAATAGGTACGTCTGTGTGATAAAACAATTTCTTTGCCCATTGAGAATGATGGTGAAAGTTTTTGGGTTATGGCTTAAAATAAATTTCTATTTACAGGAGGCACAACCATCTCCATTAAGTACCTGAAAGAATATGGCTATATTAAACCAATTCCACCTGCGGGAAAACTGAAAGAAATGTACCAAGAGAAAAAAGAAAATTTGAAAGAAAAGAGCCAAAATTTTGCAGTCGAATTGAAGCAGAAGAAAGATCAATTCAAAGGTCGCAGCCAGACATTAATGCGAGACAGGCGTCAGCAAGCACAGAAGTAAAGTATTTCACATAGAAGAACTGACTCAATTAGACAAGATAGTACTTATTGCTGAAAATAGTATTGCAATTAAAACTAAGAACATGAAAATATGTAAATAAGCACAACATATATTTCTACTTAAACTTGTAATGTTGATCACTTTAAATTGCTATAATTGTATATTTAAAGCATGTTTTGAAAATATTGAAAACTTAAATATGTACTAGCTGCATGGAATAAGTAAACTTTCAAATCTCAACCAATGGATACAAGCATTTGGAAACAATTGGCTAATTATATTTTGAGATTTGATGTTCCTATGCTGATGATATATATATATTAAATATTGTTTATAAATTCGTGAAGCCCTTTTCTTTTTCTCAAATATTGTAATTAGTAAATAACAGAAAGATCAGGTTGAATGTTTATTTGCTTCCATTTGTAACTTGAATCTTGTTCATTATATTAAACTTATCTGCAGTAAGAACTGTGTATGTACAAAAGATGTTGCTAATTGTTAAATGAGATTCAACCTCAATGTTTGGCTTAACAAGAGATTTTTAATAACTTCTTTGTAAGTCTAATTTAAAACTAATTGCAAATTTATGGGTAATTTAGTGTCAATTTGACATACTGGTGTTTAAGCAAGAGCAATAAAATATTCAGATCAAGAAATGAGGACTTGCAAGAAATTCGAAATTGGACCACTCAGGTGCAATGTTAACTTCTTTGGATTTGATATGTGAGCAATGCAAATCACCAAATCCAGAACACCCTTTTTTCTGAGTTACAATGTATTATCTTTGCTGCAAATCCATTTTTATCACAAGGTCACATTCAAAATTATAAAATTGATAAGAGCTTTCCCTCTGGAAACTGCACAAGGATGTAAAAAACTTTTTTTTTGTTGGTATGAAGAATATAATGTTGTTGACAATGAATAATAATCATCTTAGTAGTTGAATGAGAATACCATAATTAACTAGAGAAAGTATACAATTTTAAAAATAAATAGTGAATCATTTCAGATATCAGTAAAGTATTCTCAATCATCATCCTTGCTTTACATCTATTTAACAAGTTACTTTAGGAAGTATTTTTACCAATCTTTGCTGAAATATTATTTCATTGAAATCTGGTAATGTTTTGTTTTTCCTTTTCTTTCTCTCCCCAACCCCACCCAGATATATTTATAGAATTCTTGTTTGTTCAATTAGTTTTTGCCATTGTGTATGCAAGGAGCCAAAACAAAGAAAACAACTGCAATGAATTTGAAACTTAGTCCTTTCTGAAAATATTACATGCCTGTTTCTGGATTACTTATAGTTTCCTCAGTTTTGCCCAATTTAAGCTAGCAAATTTGTATTGAAATACCTTGTCAAAGTTTTGCATGTGAATGTCAGTTTCCCTTTTTGTTTAACCACAATTTCCCTATGTTTCCAATAACTATTTTTCCCCCAATCATAGAATCTGCAAAGAAGGCAGTAATGTTATTGGATGAAGGTGAAAAAACAATTTTTTATCCCATTAGATAAGACTTGAGTGAATCTGTAAAGGATCTTATGATTGTTATTTTCCTGTTTTGAATAAAAAGTTCACTGTGATGGGCTAATGTTTTGCAACTTGCCCTTCCATAACTTGCAATTGAATTTAATCAGCATGTGACTTTCATTACTGTAGATTGAAGACCTCTTCAGAACAGGTCTTAGGGCAAAATGTAACCAAGAGCAATTGCTTGAAATATTTCGTGTAATAGACACGGACATTATGCTTGGAAGTGCTACACCTCATTGCAATGTGTTTTTGTGATAGAAAAGTAAAAGGTAAATCCTAAAATAAAGTAAAAGTTTTACAGAAAAGCATTTTTTGGATAACAAAGAGTTTAAATGTAGCTTCACTATGCGCATGTTTTGTTGAACTCTCCTTTTGCTTGTAAGGGCCGAGTAGAGGTAAGGGTGAGTTACTCTTTTGTTAGCAATGCAGACCTGCATATCTGCAATTCGTTTACTGATGCAAATAAGTTTTCTATTACTCGGGAACGAAAGTGTCTAGTTTTTTTCATATGTTGCTAATCTCGCACTTTTTAATACCATTTATTTAATTTCAACTTTTACTCATCTTTTAACTATTTATAGATAAAATGATGGAATTGGGTTTGGAACTCAAGAAAACGTGCACAGATAATCTCCCCCGTACGCCACATAATTTTTACTTTTTTCTCACTAAATGAATCTTAAATCTAAACATCATGATGTATCGTGATTACCATCTTTACTTAAAAATATATACATAGTTGTTAAGAGAAGACTTTCGAGAGGCTAAAATCATGAAACACGACCAGGGAATTTTGCACTCTAATATCAAAACAAAATCAATGTATAATACTATTATTACTATCCCGTATATACGTACGTATACGGGAAAGTAAAACGAGCAGTGCATTGGCAGAGCTTTCATTTGTTCTCAAGTGATTCATGTGAAACTGTTTCTGACGTTATTTTGTCCGCCCGACGGGAATTAACATACTTCGATCGCGGAATGGAAGTTGGAGCATGGGACATTCCATTGCGGAAATCTTTAGGAAATTCATTATTCCCAGATCCACAGTGACGAGTGTGCTTCGTGACCTTATTGAGTGGACTCTCGACAATTGGAAAACCGTCGCTTGTTCAGGTAAGTTCCTATTTCAGTTGGCAAGAGATGATGGTAAGATTCGAGTATGGTGCACGTCCCACGAAGCCACGTACTCAACAATACAGTTGTCAACGAGGCACTGTGCAAGCTGGTGGTGGATCCATAATGATGTGTGCTGTTTTTATATAAAATGGACTGGGTCCTCTGGTCCAACTGAACAGATCATTGAATCCAAATGGTTATGTTCAGCTATACTTGGGTTTTTATTTCTTGGCGCGTGAGGGCCCGTCTTCACGAAGGAATAGCGAAACCGAGAAAGGACCGTTGTAATCATCCTCTACGCGACTCAAGAAATCTAATCTACAGTTCTTCATTCTTTTGATGATCAGAAAGCCAGGAGAGTAGGTACAGAGCTGGAGATCTCGTAGTGAGACGCCAATTCATCTGAGGTGAGATTTCCATTTACCAGAAGCCCCGAGACAGATCGCGAAGGAAGTTTTCCATCGATCTGTCGAACCTTGCGCCAGACTACTTTAGGGGGCGTACGGCAAGTGAATGATGAAATATATTGAATTGAATTAATGCCTTATTTCACGTGGCGAGACTCGGGCCATCAAGCCCGCTCTTCCGTTTGACCACGCAAATTTCGCTACGCTCCTTTCACCAACTAGCAGAGAAAGGAGGTATTTCTTGGGCGAGAAACAGGCGATTTTGAATTTAGCTCAGAGGCGTCATTTAGGCTTGAGGATCTTTTACGTGCAAGTAAATCTACTAACATGGGACAGCTGGCTTTACTTCCCCCCCGAAGAAAGGCGTACGAAGGAGTTTTTCGCCCTTAAAAATCCACAGCTTCGATCAAGGATCGGGTTTGAACTAGCCAACTTGGGTATACCAGTCCTAACCGTTACACCATCGCCGCCGCGAAATATAAGCTGTACAGGACGTGGCCTTACTTTCCCGTATGGGCAAACCAGCTCTGACTCGGGATCTTTTATAATTTATCAGATTATTCATAGTTGGGATCCTACTAAGCTTTACCAACGCCTGCTTCCGATCACGCACTGCGGTGGCACAGTCGGCATTCCACAAGGCACAGGAGGAGGTTGTGGACGATCCAACGACTTCAAGATGGTAATTGAGACCGCATGAAGAACGGCATCAGTAAAATGGGCAACCGTAGCATCGATATCGTTTGGGCAGTTTTCCGATATCCGCATTTCTTTTTCGAATGTTTCCCACTAAGCTCGGAGGGTTAGCCAGCGAGGATGGACAAATGGGAGTGGTCCATCATCGAATCCACTCAAAGATGGTGAAGAGAGAGGGACTGCAGAGAGCCAGATCAACGGACCAGAAAGTGTTTGAAGCCACGAAAAAAATGTATACTTTCGTCAGTATTAAGAAGAATTATGATCAAGTTGCCAATCATATTTTCAAATATATTGCCTCTTAGACAGGTCCTCGTGCGACCCCAGGCGGAATTGTGGGCATTAAAGTCCTCCACAATAAGAAAAGGGACGAGCAACTGAGAAAAAAATCTTCAAATTGCTCTTGTGACACGACTTGTCCAAGGGGGATGTAGACGTCGCAAATCGATATAGTGCGTTCACACGAACGCAAGATATCTGAAGAATGGTTCGTGCGTCTATTTCTTTGAACACGAGGGAGTCTGTGACAAATGTAGCGACTCCGCCATGGGCCTGGAGGCCAACATCAATGTCTTGCCTAAAGTCACGAAGAGAGAGGAAATGATCAGGAAGGAGATGTTTCCTGTAGGCAGATAACAACGGGTCAATACAGAGACATCAACTTTAATACGTCTAGAGTGCGAAAGCCATTGAGGTTCCACGAGAGGAGGATCATAATTTCTGGGTGTTAAGTTTCGTTGCTTCTAGGAAGGTTACGTGCCGGATTTCTTTTTCTTATTTCTCCTCTGTTGAAGAGTGATGCACGAGTCTATGTGGGGCTCCTCGTTCTCTGCAGTCACCTTGACTATGGCGAGAGCAAATCGCATATATTGACAAACCTCAGTCTTTCGATACAGGCGATCTGGATCTAGAAACAGGGTCAGTCGGCCTCACGTTTCTCAGCTCGACATCTTTGCGTTTTGTTGAAACAGTTTCCGTTAGGTATCTGACAGGCACTATTGCGCACAGAGGGAACTTTCGGTGTCTGGGTTTCACAATTTGAGGTCTTCTGCTGTGGACCCATGGTGTCAGCGAAACTTCGACTCGTGTTTACAGGGTATCGACATCATGCATCAAGAAAGGAAACTTCCGCTGGATCTCCCTTTCAAGAAGATGGGGACTGGTTTGAGTTCCATGGGTGATTCCCAGAATAGTTCACGCACCTTGAATCTGCGGAGCTGTTCGAGTCGTTACACAACTTTTTACCATAGCGTACGGCACTCATGCAACGGGGCTGCGTATGGCCGAACCTCTGACATTTCAAACAGCGCAGAGAATTTGGTACATACTGTCTGACCCGACGATTGTAATAACTGCATGATATTTTCTCTGGAAGAGATGATCGGGCGAAGGTCTGGAAGAGATGATCAGTCGAAGGCGTTGAGGTAGGAGTGAATACCCATTCATTCTCAGCTGGACCTGTACATTTCCGTCACGCCTTAAGGCTGAGAAAAAGGCTTCCGGGTCTTCTTCCGATTCTGCGGAGAAATCTTCATGATTTACTACACCCTTGCAGAGTTTAAGGCAAAGTGGGTATATGCAACTGGCGGCCGACTATTGCTTTTAGATCCGAGATTTTCTGGATCTGCATGTCAGTATGCTGGGTATCAGATTTTCTGGGTCTGCATGTCTGCACGGCATACGAAAACGATTGTGCCGTTTCTCTGTCAAAATACCGCCGGGAACTTGTTTTTTCTCTAGCGAGATTAATAGGCCTTATACTTTTCATTGTTTCTGCATCGTTATTACATGAAAAAAATAAAATGGGGCATTGTTAGTCCATCCCACTCTTTGCAAAAAGAACCATCCAAATTGACAGTTTCACGCAGAAGAGGGCTCGGGGGGCGGAGGTTTGGCATCCATGAAAAGGATATCAGATTCCTTCCCGTGGTCCCCACCCACTACGGAGCTCCATCGGAGTGCCAGGGTCGCTCGGGGATATAGTGGGGACAGGGTTGCCACGAAAATAAGACAGCGCTGCCCCGTCGTGGGACCTCCCGCTCACCCTCCTAGAATTCAGTACAAGACCTAGTCCGAGCCGATTCATTGGGAGTAGGCTAGCTCCCGACTGCCCGTCTAGAAGAGT